CCAAACGTGACTAAACTGTTCTGTAAAAGTTTATGCATTTAACATTACAATCTAAGAAAGTATCTAAAAAATATTACCCAGTAAAGATTGATTGTATTTTTTAGTTTACCCATTATGATATAAATAGCTTTTATAACTGAATTATGAATTACAATTTTCCATTTTTCCCCAAAGAGCTACGCCGTAGCGCGTAGCAGCGTGCTACGCGTTTTTAATGTTCGTAGCCACCTACGAGCTACGAGTATGATGGACATCGACGTCAAAAAAATATGAAAGCTTTGGTGTGGAATTACCTGTTTGTTGTTTCACAAAGTAAATGCAAATGCTAAGCTCGGGAACTTAGGTTGGATTCCCACGTATAAAGTGAAGAAATACTGACTTATATAATTCTAAAATTCTAGCGCCAAATGTGTCAAAAGTGACTATAAATGTTTACAAATCAATACTCATTCGTTTACCCATACATGCATTTGTATGTATCATGCATAGACCCGTTTGCGGCAAATGTTACCTAACTAACGTTATTAATGAGCTAATTAATTAAATTACGCAATACGTTTCGCGTTTTGATTCTAGTTCAGTGGAAACAATACTTGGTTACTGTTTATCGATGTTATTTCTGTTTGTGACATGTGTCATCACATGGTATAGCGGGTTTCATTTATTTTTATGGAATAAGGGGATAAATGTGCAGACGGATCACCTGTTCGTAAGCAATCGGCGTCGCCCATGGACACCCAGACCACCAGAGGCGACACAGGTGCGTTACTGACCTTTTGGGCATTAGCGGTTTGAGATTTTTTGGGGATTCAGGGATTGGGGAGATTGGGAAAGGGGGGGGGGGGGGGGGGGGGTCGCCTCGTAACCTCACTCACTGGCTTCACGTGTTCCTCACACACGACGAAACACAACGTAAGCGTTTTTTCACGTCGTTTTCGTCCCATTCGTGCCGAAGCATGACTCTCATACACTTCTTATTAAAGCTTTGACTGCTAATGAAACTGTTGAAGGCAATTCCTCTGCTAACGTTGGTCACCGGTGACCCCATGACGTTTAACTAGGCTACCATGTTAGTTGAGTATTGTTAATATTAGGCTAATTGGCTAATTCGGTTTCCAGGCTACTACCGATGCCGTAGATCTTGGATTTGATTAAATGAGTTTGATAAAATTTTTCAGGCTTCATGTAGAATTCCCAATGTTTAACAAATCGTCCACATCAGTAATGTAAGGGTGAAATGAAATACAGTATAGAGCATCTGACATTTGCCTGTATTTTATAAAAAACTTTATTAAAAACGTTTCTTTATTCTAAAACATTAATTCAAAGACATATTAAATCTTCCCGCTACATTAAATATCCAATAACATTACTATCACACTAATATTAAAAATGTGAAATTTTCTTTCTTCGGATGTTTGTTCGTCAATCACACTGAAACTACTTTTAGTATGTGATGTGTATTCTTATTTAAATTCACTTGACTCCAGAATAGTTCGTGTGTTCTATGAAAGTCCAAAATAAAATAGGCAAAACTTTGTGTATATATTGTCTTAAAAATACACAATTCACAACTAATCTAAAATTACAAAATATTACTGGTTAACACCAAAGCTGGGAGACGACTGGCGTGCTAACGCTATAGGGTAACAAGCACAGCTACGCACTTGAGAACACATAAAAAATGTCAACACATTAGTGTCACCACATACTGAACTAATTTTGATGAAATTTGGTGTACAGGCTTGGTATGAGTTAGGTGATAGGATAGCTTTTTATACCGATTAAATGGTCTCATGGCATAAAAGACGAATACGCGCCCAAAGCTGCGGGTAAAAGTTATTTAATAATAAATAGGGGTGATGACAGGGTATGAAAATTAAAAATATAACTAGTCCGTAAGTAAGGTAATGAAAAAATATTAGACACGTATTTTTTTATTTGGTCGTATAATAAAACAATACTTATATTAAACGAATCAAAGTTTAGGAGTGGGGGCTAAAACGTCATTTCTACGTATAAAATGTACACAGAAGTGAAGTCACGCGACATTTCAAATCAATATATCGTCGAAAGTATTCGTTTCTATAAGAAAATAAAAAATACGTGTCTAATGATTCAAAATAATCTACCAGATGGACATTAAAATAAAAATTAGGCATCTGCCCTATTATCAAAAACATAATTCAGAAACAAGCAAGGCCCTCCCGCAGAATATACTACAAAGACCAAAAATCTTCATAAATAATATCAAAGCAAAAATCAAAGCACTCGAGATAGCGATTTAAATTGATATCAAGAGATCAACACACAAACTTTACGCTACTTATCTCTACAGAGGGGTGAGCAGAACCCCTCTTCAAAGTGCTCTAGACGAAACATTGATGCAATCTTTAATTGCAATAAAATTCTTGTTAAGTTTGGCGTTTCTTGTTTGTGGAATGTAAATATTTGTAGATATTTGGGTAGGTATGTTACTACATATTTATAATATCAAAGAAGCTACATATACTTTTATGATTGAGTCCTGTGCACATATATTAAATACATAAATATTTATGTTTTCGGGTTACTCACATAACTATCATGCAATAATATGAGCCTCTAAAATAGCTTGAAACTAGTCGAGTACCTCGTCAAACAGCTACGTAATTAAACCGAAAAAAATTATAATTAATTTAGTATGTCTCACGAAAGTCGTAATACAATTAAATTAATATCGTATGTACATCGTTATAAAAACATTTGAAATATAAAAAATATAATATCTTCTATATATACAAGGTGTTGTTTTAACGTCGCGTCATTTTCTAGGAGGTAACTCGGCTATCGATTCTGAGTCCAAATAAATAAAAAAAATAGTAGGTAAATATTTTTAATTTTTCTGTAAATTACGGAAATCCGTAAGTGCGAACTACACGCCGCCGTCTTGTAACTAGCTTTATAACACGACTTAACACACACAAACTCAAACACGTAACTGATATTATTCCTAATTCCACAAAAATCTAATAAGAAGCATTGCTGTTGCTTTTTCTGAAGTAATGTCCAACTTAAACGATTGATTGTAGCCGTATTTTTAACTATTGGTCCGAAATTTTCTCTTACATTGAACCTTTATGACTTCTGTGACATGCCCCTGAGAAATGACACAGCTTCAAAACTACACCTTGTATATTATCTTCTTACTCATGGGAAGATTTTTCATTTATTTTTGGCATAAAACGTTAAGCGTGCTGACGGATCACCTGATGGTAAACAATCGGCGTCGCTTATGGACACTTGGAACACCAGAGGCGTTACAAGTGCGTTACCGGCTTTTTCGGGATTAGGAGTTTGAGGATTGTTGGGGACTCAGAAATTGGGATGATCGGGGAAGGGAATGGGTAATTGGGCCTCCGGTAACCTCACTCACACAACAAAACACCACCCAAGCGTTGCTTCACGTCGGTTTTCTGTGAGGCCGTGGTATCCCTCCGGTCGAGCCGGCCCATTCGTGCTGAAGCACGGCCCTCCCATACTTAGTCTAAACAAAATATTTATACATACAGGATGATATTATGATCAATGAAAAAAATAACAATAACAAAACCTATTCCATTCAACACAAACACGTACATACATACATACGAACAACAAATGACATTACACAAACAAACATACAGTTCAAATAACGTTAACAAATATACGTACATTGCAGGTAAGCCAACGTTTCATACATTTGGTCATTACCATTTAAATGTCTGACAGAAACTAATTAAAACGGTCACAGACAATTAGCTGTGTTGCAATATTGGCGGAAGCGAGCCACTAATTTATACAGAAATATTACGGCCCAATAATAAATGGAGATAGATTGTAACCTTTACTACTCTAGCTTTGTTGGTTTTGACAACTGACAGTATACAGAATGTTTCACTTTTTTTTGACGCGTCAATGTTTGAAAATACTTTCAATAAACACTAACACTTTGTTAAAAAATACAGTGTTACACATTCCGTTGCTTAAATTACCATTCTTAATAGAAAGCTTAATCAAAATACTAAAATATTTAACTAAATATTTTTATGGTAGGTGCATAAATGATAAATAATGTAATTAATTAAAAAAGAGTGTGCATTAAAAAGCGTATTTCCATAAAAGCGTGTAATGGTTTGTAAATAAAAACATCAGCCTGTGTGCAGTGTATGTTGATTCTAGTCTGACCACGCTAAGCGCAAATGGATGTTTGCTGTATTTACTATTTCTCTAAATGGTACCGTTATACCGTGCAGTAATAGACGTGGGAATAGTTTTAATTATTCCCAGAAAAGTAAATACACTCATTGAATCAAATACTTTTACAGATAATTTATGTGTAAAATATTTACATATACTTATTTTATTACTGGCTAATAGGTCGAGTGGCCGTAAGCGTGATGGCCGAAATGTGTATGTTTTGATTAGTCCGGATAGTAATTTTATGTTATGTATTAATATACAATTACAATAGAGCTAGTAAAATCTTTGAAACGTTAAATAGAAATCATCATCATCAACAGCCGGAAGACGTCCACTGCTGGACAAAGGCCTCCCCCTTAGTCTTCCACGTTGAACGACAACTCGCCACCCGCATCCACTGGCTCCCCGCAACTCTGGCGATGTCGTCGGTCCATCTAGCGGAAGGCCTGCCCACGCTTCATCTTCCGGTCCGTGGTCTCCACTCAAGGACTTTCCTGGCCCATCTGCCGTCAGTCCTTCGAGCGACGTGGCCTGCCCACTGCCACTTCAGTCTGCAGATTTTGCGAGCTATGTCGGTAACTCTAGCTCTTTGGAAAATTTCCATATTAAAGAAACCCATAGCTCTCTCCATCGCACGCTAAGTGTCTTTGAGCTTCTTCAGAAGGCCAGAGGTCAGGGAACACATCTCGTACCATACGTCATCATCGGCAACACACACTGGTTGAACACTGGTTGATTTCGAAATAGAAATATAATAACAACTAGCTGTTGCCCGCGACTTCGTCCGCGTAGATTAATGACTTCTGACAGAATTAATCAGAATCAATTCAGTGCCCAAGTAAGATTTACCTATTTTGAAATGATTTATCGTTGTTTCAATAAATAAATAATCCCGCAGGGATCTTACCAGTACAGTGCCCGATCACGTAAGGTTTGAGTAATAAAAACTATTCTATCGACTATTGTTGTACCGAATCTCTCTAGAATAAATTCAGTTCAGGTTAAGAGTTAGAGAGTCCTGGGGCATTGACGCATAGTTCCCGTTCTCGTGAGACATCTGTGAAAAAACTATCATACGTTACCCAGGTCCCAAATCATCGTTTTACCGAAAGTAATTCAAAAAGATTCAATGATTCTAAATTCAATGGCTAAGAAGATTTATACAAACTCTCATTCCCTATTTTATCCCCTTAGGGGTGGAATTTATCAAAATCCTTTCTAAGGAGATACCTATGTCATAGTAAATTTATGCATGCAAAGTCTCAGCCCGATCAATTTAAAACTGGCAAAGTATCATACTTTGGGGTGAGAATGTTCAAAAACCTTTCTAAAGGGACGTTTACGTCATAATATCCATCTGCACGCCGAATTTCAACCCGATCGGTGTAAAACTGACAAAGCTTCATACAAACGTTCATCCCCTACATTACCCCATTGGAGGTGGAAATAATCAAAATCCTTACTTGGGGATGCCTACGTCATAACATCTACCTGCATGCCGAATTTCATCTGCATCGGTGTAAAACTGACAAAGGTTCATATACACTTTCACCCCCTATTTTACCCCCTTAGGGGTGGAAATGATCAAAATCCTTTCTCAGCGGATGCCTGTGTGATAACATCTATCTGCATGTCAAATTTCAAACCGACCGATTTAAAACTGACAAAGTCTCATACAAACTTTCATCCCCTATTTTACCCCCTTGGGGTGGAAATTATCAAAATCCTTTCAAAGCGGATGCTTACGTCATAACATCTATCTGCATGCCAAATTGACGCATAGTTCCCGTTCTCGTGAGACATCTGTGAAAAAACTATCATACGTTACCCAGGTCCCAAATCATCGTTTTACCGAAAGTAATTCAAAAAGATTCAATGATTCTAAATTCAATGGCTAAGAAGATTTATACAAACTCTCATTCCCTATTTTATCCCCTTAGGGGTGGAATTTATCAAAATCCTTTCTAAGGAGATACCTATGTCATAGTAAATTTATGCATGCAAAGTCTCAGCCCGATCAATTTAAAACTGGCAAAGTATCATACTTTGGGGTGAGAATGTTCAAAAACCTTTCTAAAGGGACGTTTACGTCATAATATCCATCTGCACGCCGAATTTCAACCCGATCGGTGTAAAACTGACAAAGCTTCATACAAACGTTCATCCCCTACATTACCCCATTGGAGGTGGAAATAATCAAAATCCTTACTTGGGGATGCCTACGTCATAACATCTACCTGCATGCCGAATTTCATCTGCATCGGTGTAAAACTGACAAAGGTTCATATACACTTTCACCCCCTATTTTACCCCCTTAGGGGTGGAAATGATCAAAATCCTTTCTCAGCGGATGCCTGTGTGATAACATCTATCTGCATGTCAAATTTCAAACCGACCGATTTAAAACTGACAAAGTCTCATACAAACTTTCATCCCCTATTTTACCCCCTTGGGGTGGAAATTATCAAAATCCTTTCAAAGCGGATGCTTACGTCATAACATCTATCTGCATGCCAAATTTCAACCCGATCGGTTTAAAACTGACAATGTCTCATACAAACTTTCATCCCCTATTTTACCCCCTTGGGGGTAGAATTTATCAAAATCCTTTCACAGCTGATGCTTACGTCATAACATCTATCTGCATGCCAAATTACAACCCGATCGGTTCAAAACTGACAAAGTCTCATACAAACTTTCATCCCCTATTTTACCCCCTTGGGGGTGGAAATTATCAAAATCCTTTCACAGTGAATGCTTACGTCATAACATCTATCTGCATGCCAAATTTCAACCCGATCAGTTAAAATCTGACAAAGTTTCATACAAACTTTCATCCCCTTTTTTACCCCCTTGGGGGTGGAAATTATCAAAATCCTTTCTTAGCGGATGCCTACGTCATAACATCTATCTGTATTCCAAATTTTAGCCCAATCTGTCCAGCGGTTTGGGCTGTGCGTTGATAGATCACTATGTCAGTCAGTCAGTCAGTCAATCACCTTTGAATTTTATATATATAGATATTGCAAATGACCGGTGACGTCGACAATGTGTAGCATTTTCGTAGCGGTCTACGACAGAGCTACGAAATCAACAACGCTGTGCTACGAACTGAAATTCGTAGCAACTAACATAATTATATGATACATCCGCTACATAATATAATTTATTTTTATTTTACTGTAACTAAAACTGTTCGGGGATGTCAGAGAAGTAAATCTTTATTTTCTTGCCAGCATAGCAATTAAATAGGTTAGCTGTACATTCTCTGCTAACAATTAAAGCTTGGTTAATAGTTAACTGATAAAATATCAGCCTGTATAAAAACATGATCGATTACAATCATCGTGTAATTATCTCCGATGCTTATTATTACGTGTTAGTGATTGCAGGTACTGCTCCTGAAAGGTAATAAAATAATAAATGTATCTGCTTAATTAATTCACGATCTGTGTAAGTTATGGTAATAATTAATGATAATTATTATTTATCATCTATTTTAAATATTAAAGGTGTTTTCCTGGTGTGATTGGTCGCGATTTTTCAGGTGCCATTTAATTACAAGGCCTTTGGCAATAGCATCTTACGACTATTACGAAGACGACATATACGATAAATGGTATTTTGAAAAAAAAAAAGAAGTGTTATAAATTATAACGTTACATATTTTTATCCATTTTCTTACTACGATAATTCCAATTTTAATAAATTATTATAAATTTGTGTTACGTAAACATATTTTATCTGTCCCACACTAAATTGAACATCCCTAAACTATCGCACGTAACTTCAACGGAAATGCAATAACTTTAATTTACGAACCGAGTAATCCGGATAAGCCGTCAATTTTGTAATAACGCACATTTTCACTGTAATTGTGACAGCACATGTAATGTGAACCCGGATATTGTCGGTTTAACGATCATTATACTGCTGTGATTCTGGTAACATTGTACATCGAGGTACGAATAGGTTGGTTTCGACCGACAAAACAAATGAACGAATGCTTTCTAGGTCGCTGCCGCGCCGGCTCATGACGGCGACCTTTCTATTAAAATTCTGCAAATAACAAAAGGGACGAGAGGTGTTACTGCCCTTGCCTGTTTACCTGTCCCGTGTTTAAAAAGGAATGTAATACAACCCCAGTTATTTTCATTATTCACATTTACATCACCGTTTCGAGTTCATGTCGCGCGGCGAAATCTGAAAATATTTTTTCTCGTAATTCAAACGTACGTACGTGGCAAAGCAGCTATTTGAAATATTCTTCGCAAACGATGCTGCCTTAGTTATTTCGAGAATCTACTCGTTGTTTAAAGAGGCGAATATTAGGAGCTTGGGAAATCAAAAATAATTCGTATTGCTTTCTAAATTCTGGGACGGTGTGCCTTTATTTTGAGAGTTTCTACTATATAACTTTACTGAGGCCGTTATAACTGTCGAAACTAAACAAGATAGTTTCACTAACCGACCTCCAACAGGTGAAAACTCGTAAAACTAACTGTATGAGTTCCGTTGCGACGGACGCTTGTAGAGGACCGTTTACAGAAACAAAGCCGCTGTAGAGTTCCGGGCCGGCCTCACTGTCTCCCGCCTGCATCGAGCACGAATGCGTCTCAACTTTAATAACAATGGATTTAATTGTTCACTTTGCGACGTCAGCACAAACTGACGTAATTAAGACAAATCCTAGCGCAGATATTTACAAGTCTACATATTATATTACAGGTATTATTAAAACAAGCTTTAAAAGTGAACAAGAATGAAGAAGACTATAAAGGTCATTTACTTGATCTCAATAACATAAAGTCTATACTTAGAACTATAAATTAGATTTTAAAAACAGAGTACCTACATTGATGTTAAACAGAATCGTACGTATCTTTCTTAGGTACTATGTCTACAAACAAATAGAATGTTGATCCATTTTGTAACAGACAAAAGACATTTCCATTTGAATTACTCCACAAATCCATTTACAACGTCTCAGACTTCAAACTTAGCAAAAATTGCACTTTATAGAACAAATAAAAAGCCACAAAAGATTCTCTGATAGCGACAAAGTTCAGCTTTTATATCAAATGCGACCAAGAGAATAACCATTAAGCATTTCCTTGCGCTCTGCGTGCAATAAATGAATGAAAAACTCCGCTCCAACTTGGTAGATACAATTGATAACTTGCCCGGAGCTAAACTTTTTGCTTCCCAGTCCATTATTGACGTCTAAGATCGAAGGGAGAACGCTCCACGATATTTTTAACCTTTTATTCTGTTCTGTGCGGTTATTTTCGCCTTTTCCAGCTAATTTAATGGGTTTTTAATTACTGACCAAGGAAGCGTAGACTGGTTTTCAACATTTTTTTCACGCGAGCCTCTCACAGTTTGAACTGAAAACCTTTTTAGTTACATCATTGCTGATTGATAAACACTTCATTAGCTGTTCAAATTACTGTGATTCGTTTTAAACTCACAGTGAGTTTAAATACAAATACAAAATGAATACGTAGTTGAAACCATTCATCATTATATTATCTATGAAACTGAAGCGTTTCAATTAAAAACGAGACTTGTTAGTTCCCGGTCTGCTGGTCAACTTTTATTAGTTCGCCGAGTAGAAAAAGTAATCAAGTCTGCGATATATCGTGTCGCTCTCCTAACTCCCGAGATAACTCTTAATTGTTTGATGTGACGCCTCGCGGAGACGTGGGGAAGCCGTCTCGTTACCTTTTATCTTGTTTGCGAACAAATTTCAAGTTTTTAAAGAATTTGCTATGAGCTTTACGAGCATAATAGAAAGATATTATGATACAACATTTTTAACTGCTTATTACTTAGCAGAAATAACATCTCTTGTGTGCTTACAACATAAGAATGCTTATGTAAGGTTCAATGACCCGATATTACAATTGAAACCTACTAAAAAGTAGCTATTTTCGTTCTCCTTAGGTCAATAAGTAACAATGGTTTATTCAGACAACAATACGCAAGCCAAACAGAATACGCAATTAAGGTAACAAAAGATGGGGACAGGAGAATATCTACTGAAAAAAGCTTTATGAATGAAAATAAACCGAAAACGTGGATGTACGAAAATGGGTCATCGAATGAAATATTTCAACTAACCATTATAAGTTGACACTCGAGATTTCAACAGGGTTGGCTTATGGAGGTGGTTTTGAGTACAGTTGAGGTTCCAAGATGGTTGGTGTGGAAAGGTAGGTGGAATGGAACGCACGCAACACGATACGCTCGACCAGTCAGTGCCAACGTTCCAATCCCAGCAATTGTTTTCTTTGTCGAGAACACTGATGGACCGACAGTGTTTCAACTAGAGAACTCTACAATTGCTCTGTTGCTTTTCATCTGACAAAAAAAAACATTTCAACGATACAGATACGAAGCAATCAACGGTAATTTAAATTATATGCATCAGTATCAGTTTAATTTGAGCAAACATATCATTTTAATGAGTGATACACAATAAGTATATTAATACGTTATGCTTACTGGAGTTTATTTTTTAAGGTATAAAACAAAACGTTTTGTTACATCATTTTGTCTTTATTACATTTACCATGGAATATTTACACACTCTATACAAATATGATAAAGAAAAAAAAACATGGTCACTTTGGCTTAAATACTCTTTAGCAACAAATCGTACTGGCGACGTAAAATAATCTGTGGATAGGGCGATGTTTGAAACAACGTTCTCGTGTCACCGCAAATTCATCGGTTTTGACAAAAATGACAGCATGTATAATATAAAAAAAATTCATGTGAAAAATAAAATGAGGCAAAATTCAATATAACATGTGACTTTACTAAACTTCAATTTTATATATAAGTAACATTTCTGTGATATGCCGGGACCCGATGTGAGAGCTAATGAAAATGTCCTCGGCGAGATGTCGACAGAACCCACTGCGACTGTGCATAGTGGCGTAGAAGCGAAAACTGAAAGAAAACTTACTGTCCTTGAGTCACATGGATACGTCCTTGGTCGAACCATTGGGTCTGGTTCTTATGCCACAGTCAAGGTACCAGATTATTTCTCAAATCGAATTGGCCTCGGAAACATTCGTTAAAAACATAAAAAATGGAAAAGACTTGAGAAATACAGAACCATATGTTTTTCATTTTTTATGAGGAATCTGAATTGGAATAGGCTGTAAACTACCTATTGCATCTTCGTGACCTCTATCAGCTAAAGATAATTATGTAATTTGGATTCCAAGTTCGCATCAACTCTTTTGCATCTGACATTTCCTAGTTTTGAATTTCGCCGTATTTTGGCAGTACTATTTTAATTATAGGCTAACTTTGAATATTTATTTACTTGTAGGTTGCAACCAGCGACCGACATAACTGTCAAGTGGCAATCAAAATAATTAGCAAGTTCCAAGCACCTGGCGATTATCTGAAAAAGTTTCTACCAAGAGAAATAGAAGTCGTAAAAGGTCTCAAACATGAGAACCTTATACGATTTCTCCAAGCTATAGAAACTACTCACAGGTATAAACCTTATTTCCGATGTTTAGAGACTACTTTTGTATGCAAATTTAGGGGATGATATTTCGACAGTTAGAGCGGACTAATCACCTGATCTCAGCCTTCCATTAATTTGGTTATCTAGTAAATGGTCATTTCTCGAAACCTAACCACATGATTAATATTGTCGATGCCAAACTAAGTTTCCGGGAATAAAGAAGGCTAAAGTGCTGTTGAGGTTTACATCTCTTTTATATTTCTAATTACACGCAATAGCAGTGGAGTCATAAAATCTGGATTCGATTACCCTACAAATGAAAATAAACTTACCACCTTGCATTATTTAGGTTGTCTCGCGATGCGTTATAAACCGGTTAAAAACCGGTTCCTTTTTTGCCTGAATGAGCTCAAATTCTGCTTCTGCTCATTATACCCTTCGCCTTCCAGGGTCTATATTGTGATGGAATATGCCGAAAATGGCAGTCTCCTAGATATAATACGCAAGGACCAACATATCGATGAGGTGCGAGGTCGACGCTGGTTCCGACAGCTCGTGGAGGCGGTTGATTACTGCCATGAACGAGGAGTTGTACATAGGTGAATTTATTTTGCATATTATATCTTACATCTTATCTTTCCTAAGATAAGGTGGAATAGAAAGAAATCATAACCATTATCATCGGCCGGAAACCGAAAAAAATCGAAAAGAAAAATGCTGAACAAAGGGGAACGAAATAATGATTGTTCAAATGCCAGCTTTCGCCTGTAGTTAGGGTTTTCTTTGCACCGTTACAAAAATAATAAACAAGAATAAATAAATAGTTTACTACCCGGCGCAAAAATGCCAGTGCCCAGCTAAAATATGGTAGTTTCCTAAATTTTATTTTAATGTCCGTCTGGTATATTAATTTAAAACTTTGTCGCGGAGAACTTAACGGTCGCGGAGAACCTAACGGGTAACCGGGGCTCCGGCTCGACGTGCAGGAGAAGGAACGGGGTGGTTTTTAGTCAGTAAGAGTCTGACACTTCCTCCCGCCTCACCCAGGCGGGAGGAAGTGTGATGATTTTCGATGATTTTCCCTCCTTAAAAAAAGACACGTATTTTTTCTTTTCTCACAATATTAAATACTTTGGACGATATATTAATTTGAAATATTATGACGCACGTTATGACGTAACGACCTCCTACTCCTAAACTTAGCACCATTTTATCAAAGTACTGCAACTTAATAAGAGAAAATAAAAAAATACGTGTCTAATATTTTTTTATTATCTAACTGACGGACTAATTAGATGTTTAATTTTGATACACTGGAAACTACCCAATGCCGTGACCCGAGCGAGATAGCTTGAGTCGAGTCTGCTATTAGCCTCGCCAAGATTAGATCATATTTTGTTTAGCATGTCAAAAAAACAAGATAGTAGTAGGTTATAAATAATTCTGTACAAAATAATTAACAAAAGAAGAAACATGTGAATAGGCACTCATCTTTTTTTTATATATTCGTAAAGATATCCTATCATCTCTCTGTTTCAGGGACATAAAATGCGAAAACTTGCTAATGGACCACGGTTTGAACATTAAACTTTCGGATTTTGGTTTTGCTCGCGGTCATATGAAGCCGAAGAATGGAGTGTACGCTCTGAGTGAGACTTTCTGCGGAAGCTATGCTTATGCTTCGCCAGAAATCTTGAAGGGAGTTCCTTATAGGCCACAGGACTCTGACATTTGGAGTATGGGAGTGGTTCTTTACGCCATAGTGTATGGAAGACTGCCTTTTGACGATACGAATTATACGCAGTTACTCAAAGTAAGACCTTTTGAATCAATTTAGTATATTCTGTAAATTTCAATATTTGTAATTTTACGAATTTTTTATCTTTTATTCTTTTTGTGGTCTTATCTTTCGTCTATATCATCCACGATTGGTTTGTTGATGGTCCTACAAAACCCGCAATATACGGCTAAATGCTGCTTTGCAATACTCTAACTATAATTATGAACATCTAGTACGTTATATAAAACTTATTTCAACATTTACAGCAAGTGCAAAACAAAGTATCATTCCCTCGTGAGCCGAAAGTATCAACCGATTGTCGCAAGCTAATCACGAAAATATTGGCTCCTTTGAAAGTGCGCGTGAAGATACCTCAGATCCTGGCAGACACGTGGATCAACCCGAACCAACCAGCTAAGGACGAAGAGGTGGATACAGCACAGGTGAAATTTGAAAACATTTGATGAAACAAAATTTTAAAATATTACTTACCAAGGTCATCAGAGCAAGATTTTGCTTTTACCCGTCTAATTCCTTCATTTCAAGATGAAATCGTAAGTATTATTGTCACCGTCCCAGAATTGTGCTCGTCTGATGAACGGATTTGTGTCCGTACTGGTTTCCAAAAATGTTTCCTAGGTTTTGTAACGTTCTTGGTCCAGATATGTGGATAACTTTGTTCCTCTCCGATGCACAGGCGGATCCGCGGAAAATTCCCATTGTTAGGGTCGGTACGCACTGCGGTTAACCCCAGTAAAAAGCAAAATTATGTTCTCTGAACTGTGCGACATTATAATTGAAATAAACTCCTTTCAAAACCTCCATTCTTGTTTAATTTCATTATCTACTAGTGACCCGGCTTCGCTCTGGTGCTATTTTTTTCTATCCTGATGGGATTTTAAAACAAATTTCCTGAAGACACGACGACAAAAAACAAAATTGAATCAGACGATTAGTAAGAATCGTTGTGCAGTTGTGTGAGTTGCATTGCTCAGTAACTTTGAAGTATAAAAATAATGAATAGCTGTTGCCAAAATTAACTCGAAACGCCGACATTTCAATTTATTTACCGCCGTTTCAGTTTACCTAGAATAGGCCCCTAAACCTTGCAATCCTCAACCATGCTAATTAAACCAATTTAAGTTGGAACGTAATAAGTAACGTTGTTTGTTCGACCGTTTTTCCCTCGTGGTCTCATCCACAACGGGTTACTGCCCAAGTCCCTTTAATTAGAGCTACACGAATAGAAATTACGTTCATTACGTTAAAAAGGTATCATTTTTCAGGAAAACGCGCAAGTCAGCAAAGAAGAAATAAAAAGCGTGAACATTGGCACTGTGACTTTCGACAGGAAGTTAGAGGAAGTGAAATGATAATGATAATAAAGCAACCAATCAGAAAATAGTGAAACATTTAAATAAACCAATTATGCTTTGTTATACCTATTTTTTGTTTTTTGTTAAGTATCATATAAAATACCTATAGCTTTTTTGAGGGGGGGAAATCATCCAATGACTTCTCCCGCCCGGGTGAGGCAAGAGGGAGTGTCAGACTCTTACTCACTAAAAACTACCCCGTTCCTACTCCTGCACTTCGAGCCAGAGCCCCGGCAACCCGTTAAGTCCTGCGCGGCTCCACATCAGCATCAGCTCTATTGGGAAACTAACCTATAGCTACATAAACTCACTTTTTTTTACCCATGGGTGTGGATAAAAACTTATCAATAAGTTGTCCTTTCTTTAAAACATTTAACTTATGGGAGTCAGCTTACACAAAATAATAGAGGTTACTGGCTAGTACTGTTTCACTTGACGCTTGAACTTGTCATTAAACAACCCTGCTTTAACAATTACTTACGTTTTTGCAGCCTAGACTACGGTAGGCAGTGGGGCACTTAAACCGACATAGGTAACATATGTATATAAGGTACCTACCTAAGTTCAACTCAACATTATCTAATTAAAGTCCCAATAAATAGGTACAAGTCGTAGGTAGGCGACGTAAGTGCCGCAGTAGGTAAAGTGACGCACTATGGCGCTCGCCGCGTAATCGTCAACCCTTGCACTAACACCGCGACAACGCGACGCCTACGCAACGTCGCAGACGTTGCGTAGGCGTCGCGCGGCGCATACGTTTACCGAACGCTTGCGATGTGTGAAGACGCTCTAATAGTTGAAGACGCTACTATGCAAAAAAAATATTTTCAGTTCAGTTTTTTCAAAACACCACAGTGATATCCTGGTGCTTACTTTTGACGTCAAAATGTATTAAAAATTATACTCCAAATAGAAATCTTAAAATATTTTATTAACTAAGTAAATACTAAAAAGGTTATGAAACTATTTAACTTTGCTTGGTTTCTTCCTCTGAGGCGGTTTAGGAGTACACACGTACTCGTCATCCTCTAACTTCAAAGCTTCTATCTTCATAGATTTTTTGGCTTTCCTTATACACCAGTACGACACTCCGATGAGGAGCACGTATATTACTGAGGCAACCCAACAGTTTACCGCCACCTACATTCAAATTACAAGCTTAAAAATCTGTAATTCAAAATCAATAGTTGGCTAATCTTTGTTGCTTTTACTCATTCGTTGAATATGCATGACTAACGGCGCTGCCCTTGCACACACGCAACGCGAATGAAGTTACAAACTTACAATTAATTACAAGTTCGTTGCTGGTCTTTTAGGGATCGGGATGGACCGGGTAGATTGGGCCTCCGACTTTATTAGTCTGCGATCTGTAAAAACGATGAAACTAACTAACAACTAACTTTTTGGTAATTATCTGAAGTTTTCGTAATAAAATCGTCATAATCATCATATTCTTCTTCTTCAACATCTTCTAAAAGCGTGACCACTTCGAAATGATAACAGATTCCCATAAAGAACTGAAAGCACAGAAATATTTTCATTTATTATATCTATGACTGAAATCAATGTAGATAGCGTTCATTATTAATTACTGAAACCTTAAAATATTGTGGGGGACCTGTGTAGGTACTGTGTAGGTAGGCACTAACTTTTTTTGAGAGGAAAATCATCCAATGACTTCTCCCACCTTGGCTATCCACTTGAGGCAAAAGGGAGAGTCAGACTCTTACTGACCAAAAAACACCTCGTTCCTACTTCTGCTCTTCGAGCCGCGGTAACCTGTTAAGTCTTCCGCGGCTCCGTATCGGGCATCACTCGTACTGGGCCCCGTCTGGAGTAGTCTGATGGCCTGTGGGGCGCACGCGTACGCAACTCGCCGTACGCTTGGGTCTGCGTCACTCAGAGGCCGCCCAACCGGGCGGTGAACTACCCTAGCTTGCCCAAAAAAACCTATCGTAGGTACCTAACCGTGAAATATTCTCAATTTCGTACCTACCTGAGTAGAAATAGATACCTGTAGTATTCACCGCTAATTCGAGTTATCCCTACCGTAATGAAAAGCAAAATGATTACCAGCTGTATCGCTCCCCATATGCTAAGCAAGCCACAACAAACTCCACAGCTAAATAAATAACTCATTGCAAAAGCGGCTAATAAGATATTATTATTATACAGCCAATCAGAAAAAAAACAATTCAACTCGCAGTTGATACATTGACGTATTCGTTGACATTTGTAGAAGTCGGCACCTTGGTCAGCAGTCTGTCAGTGCCCATCAGCGCCATGCAAAAGGTTTGTCCAAAGAGTATAATAAGTATAGGGGAAGGTTTGTTAGTGAAGCATAAATCAAAAGACAACTTTTATTCATAGCATCTTGCGCATCTTGCATAGAATCATAGAATAAATTGACATCCGACAGTTTTTGTATGGAAAAGGAAAAATAGTAGCGTTTGCATAGTAATGCGGGTAGTCAGTAATAATCCCTTATACTTATTATACTCTTTGGTAGTATTCAATGGATTGACATCACTATTCATCGATATGACCTGTGTGTCTAGTTTAATTTTAAATTAATTTGCGATATTTTTTTAACACAATATTTTCCAACCTTCCATTATGAAAGGACATTAAAATGTCTGGTCTAGAGCACGGGCTTCTAGTAAACGCTAATAAAAAACTAAAAATAAAAGGCTAAAATAAAACAGCATTCAACATCAATACCTTTACTTCAAGAAAAACTAAGCAATGTAGTACCTACAATAATAGAATATATTATGTACAATTTATAGCATTCATTCATTTGTAATACTTATGCACAATAATTTCTGTTACTCAATTTGATACATTGATTTTATGTTGGAACCACTTGATACTTAAATAATTATTAACCATTCACATTATAAGCAATGCAGGGTAGTCCCGACATTGATAACGACAAATTCAGTGGCCAAGGTGTTATAATAAATTTTCAACCTTACGTTTTTGTTATAAAGTTGAAAACCTATTAACCCAACTTTCGACTTAGCGTCTTGTGTCTGTTGTTGTCATTGTCGAGACTTCCAGAGCATCTATTAACAATAGGGTAAATCTTAATAGTTTTATACAGGACAACAGACATGGAAGGTAAAGCATTGATCATACTATGTGGTTTTCTTTTAAATACTTTAAATAGAATTAATTTATTTATACATGGAGTCATGTTTTAAGAACATTGATAAATTACTTTGGATGTAAACAATTTTTTTTTCATTAAATGCTAATTTATGACAACCTTCATGTGTTGTTAACTTATGTCTATAGTTTTAACTTTAACACATGGGTGATATCTATTTTATCTGTGGTCAAATGTGACATTGAGTAAGAACATTTTTTTAAGAACCTTTTGACCACAGATTACCAATCATGGCCAGTAAGCTAGGGTGAGGCCATCTTCAGATAGTGGGATGTTACAAAAAGAAGAGGACTCGATAAACATTTTGGAAACTCTGACTCGAAGAGCTAATATAAATAAATTATTAATGGAATGGAGTTATTCAACAGTAACATAACAACTTATACCCCCGTGCTAGTAGCATAGATGACAATACCACTTTTTACCGACTTTTACATACTAACTGAAGAACGATTGTTCATCCAGAATTGATGTCCGGATACAACAAGTGTGATGACATATAGCAGAGCAGCGATCCAACAGTTGTAGGCATTCTGAAATTTTAAAATATTAAATTACTTTATGAACATATTTTGTTGGTTCATTCGATTTCTAGCTTGGATTAAGGGCAATAAGATTACTTGTGCATGTCTGAATAACATAGGTGATGAAGTTAAAGAATTAGTTTGTGTTCTAACTAGCGATACTTAAAGTTTTAAATTAAATCGGAAATCTCTCCCTCTCTGTTTGAGTAGTTTAAAGTAATGCAGTTCATTTTTTTACAAGACTGCTTGTATGTTAGTATCTAAATATGCATTGAAGCAAAAAAAAAGCTAAATCTCTTAACGGAAATAAGGTCCAGTTTCGAATCACAGGGCTAATGGATCCAGTAAGAATATGCTCAGATTGTTATCAATAATCTTGATGCATTCGTCAATTAAAGATAAGAATATCATAGTGAAAATTATTTCAATGTTAGGCTTTTAGCCTTGAATAGTATCAAGTAACATTGCAGACAAATTCACAAGGAAATAGCAACAGATTTATATTGCACTACAATTTTACATTGAAGATGATCTGCGAGGAAGGAATGATCATAACTACAGAGTACCAAGTACATGTAATCCAATTCAATCAAATCGGTACAAACATTCGTATTAGAACTGATGACTAACCTGAGTGTATCCAGTCTCAACGTTGGTGATGAAACTTTCCATAGAGTGGTGGTGTTCTTCAAGAGGGAGATCTTCTAACAAAGCCACTGCTCTGATATAATAGAAGACGCCCATCAAAGTCTGAAACATTCGCGAGCGTTAGTACACTCTTACAAGAATCTCAAGTTTAGTCAAATAATATAGTTCCACTCACCAATTGTATGATTCCCCAGACGCTCAATACGAGCCCGCATAGCGACAGCTTAGGACCACAGATTTTGCAGGCCATTTTATTGGTTTATTTATCAGAATTACGACCACTGTAAAATAAAATGGTATCGACCACTAGCTGTCAGCTGGTGTCAAAAAGCGAACACTCACATGATCTTTGCATTCTGTTATTTGTCTATGGTTATTGTAGAATTTCATATATTTATATTTTCATTGCATTTTCTTTTAGATACTAAAATTATTTTTTGCTTTTTTATTTCTTTTATCAATTTATATAATTAGAAGGTGTTTTACAAATTCAATAAATTACGCGTTTATAATATATCATACAAATAAAAATTCGATTAGCGTAAAATGAAATGTTGTAGATTATTGCCATTTTTTACAATAGCTACTAATTTAGTAGTTCTGGAAGAGACATCAACATTTATCTAATTTATTAAAATACCTAATCTAGTAAATTCAGACAGTCACAATCGTGTTATACAACATTTTGCCTTATGTAATTGCTTATATCGTAATAAACTTTCACAACTTTTAAGTTGTTGGTAAAAAGTTAAGTTTGACGGACTAGTAGAATTATATTCTCTGTAGCTGGCAATATATTCTATGAATGACACATTTTTCTCGGTCGTATCTACGAGAAAATAAATTTCAATAATGGTGGACCGTTTAGGTAGGAAAATAATAATTTAATATCGTGCAATAACGTTATACAACTTAGAATACGGTGGTGTAATTTGTGTGCTATCATCTAAAATAGTTACGTGGGATATCACTGTCATTGTTTGCTTGTCGCTCACTTTCCTTTGACGTCAAACTTTTATACCGTACTGCAATTTTTAAGTAGGTAATTTTCTTTTTTTCAGTGAACAGTGAGGCCAATGCTCGAAGGATTGCTATGGTTGAGAGCTGCTTCGGCAGTTCTGGACAGGTGAGCATCTGAAGTTTCCAAATATAAGTTTTTACTAAGTTTTGAAGTTGAGTGCCGTCATATTATCACCGACAAACTCGGCAAGATAAAATCTTCAGTACATCGTTCGTGTGGGATTGTTCTGACAGAAGATATGAAGTGTTTATCAGCATTGTTTTTCATCATTATACTTTTATGTGCAATGTTTCATGCTTTCTTGTATCTGAATGTTATTTTTAACATGCAATGAAGGCGCTATAGAATATAATTAAATTACGTAGATTAGGGATTGATTAGCCTGCCCATTATCAGTTAGATTGCATGTTACTATTCCATGATTATGACTGATGTAATGAATCATATCAGAATCTAAGGTGTAGGAGGTTTAATCTTCATGAAATGTGTATGTGTTGAGTTTCCTCATCATATTTATGCAATGTGTCTTATAAGAAGCCATGACATTGTTATCTATGATAGACAGGTTTTATCACCCGACGCCTGATGCATTGAAATAGAAAATGTGTCCAAATTTGCATACATTCACTTAAGATACAAAAACATAGCAGATTAATTCATTAGCAATATTGAAAGGTTTCCAATTGTAAATGTCAAATTTTACATAATAAAGAAATCTTACAAGTTGCCTAATAAGTAGCTTATATGATGTATCATTTTTTTTTTGAAGTGATATCTTGTCCACAGAAATCATTTAAGCATTTTATCTTTCAACTGTGCAAACAGGCAGACAGTATTGGCATCATAATAAAACTTTTTGGTATCTAACAGATAAGCAGTACAAACATATCCTGTGCAATTAAAAAAAAACATGAATTTTTTTTTTAGCCTCTGGCAGAACAAGGCAGGGTCCTTGTGGGAGAGGGTGTCCTGACAAAAATGTGCCGCAAAAAACCGAAAGCCAGACAATTCTTTTTGTTCAACGACATACTTGTTTATGGGAATATTGTTATCAACAAGAAGAAATATAACAAACAGCATGTTATACCTCTTGAGGAGGTGAAGCTGGAGTCACTGAAGGATGATGGACGTAAGTTTTTTTTTCACTTCAGCAATTTTGATTAAAAACATTCGGAATCAAGATTGTTTTTCACATTTGTCGTATGAAGTCATATGGAGGTGTGACTTGCCAGGGAATCGAACCCGAGACCCCTTGTCTCGGGTTCGATTCGCGGGTTGGGCAAAGTATTACTGGGTTTTTAAAAGATTCTCAGTGTTAGCACGGAGTATGGAATTGTGGCTGCTATATGGCAATAGGTTCACCCCCTATTACATGGGACTCATAACGTAAATAGTGAATAGTGGGTGTTACATGGTACAGTAGCATTAAGCGACGTAATGTGCACCTTTGGCTATCCCTTCTCGGGGATAAAAGGCGTGATGTTATGTTTTCGTATGGAGTTTCTGTTATAAACTTAGATTAATCTAGAGGTTTTAGCTTTACTTCTTTATCCCCGATTATGAAAGATCCACAATATTTGTTCATCCAAAAGTAGTCTCTAAACATCGGAAATAAGGTGTATAGTGAAGTAAGTGGAGAGCGGTGTCGCGCAGAACCTAACGGTTGCGGAGAACCTAACGGGTAACCGGGGCTCCGGCTCGACGTGCAGGAGAAGGAATGGGGTGGTTTTTAGTCAGTAAGAGTCGGACACTCCCTCCCGACTCACCCAGACGGAAGCAGTCATTCGATGATTTTACCCCCTTAAAAAAAAAGTGGAGAGCGGTCACCGGTGACCATTTGGAGACTGGGCAGTAAGGTTGAATATTCATTGAGTTACTAGAGTATATACATTGGCAGATTTAATATTGTGTTGCCACATATTAAGACGATAAAAATGCATTGTTTTGTGCGTGTGCTTAGATTACCATTGTAGCAGATAAGGGGTTGATGCCGTGATCATTATCCACCTATCTTAGATTATATGGAGACAACTGTCTGTAGTTTATTCTATTGTATTATTGAAATAGGTATTTGTTTGTTTAGATGTCCTATAGATTAACACTATCATTTATACTCTATAAATATATTATGTTTACATTTGTTGGTTAGCTATTCTTAAAGAAAAAACCTATGACATTTCCTTTCTTTTTTTCTTGATTAAAAGATGATGTATCGATGCTTTAGTCATAAAAAACTTTAAGGAAAAATATTATTTTGATACAATTTCTATTTTTAAATTGGGTACTTGCGAACTAGTCAAATTCAATACTTTTTCCAATTGTCAAAAACGACAGTTTTCTAATGTTTTTTTTACGAGATTGTGTATTGTGACGTCACATTTTTTTTTGCCTCAAACAGCATATTTATTTCTTAAAAAATAGCTGGAAAAACACTAAAATTAAGTTGGTCTTAAAATCGAAAATATGATTATTTTTTTATATCTTATTGCATTGAACAGTCGATATTATTTATGTATTTATGATGAAGGCAACCCAATTATACATTTTTAAACTCTTCAATACCTAGTTATAAATGTAATTTAAAAACCTTAAACTTGTTTTGGGAAATAATAAACACATTAATAGATATATAACATAAGATAAATAAGTCTATGTCATAAGTACTTGTTAAATAATTATATTGTTTTGGTTCCTTTTCCTCTAAAATAAAGTAACTTGGACTATCATAACATTAATTATATCAGAAAGGTCAGTTCTATAATTTAAATACAAAGTTATAGACAGCTGTGTTTATCACAAATCTTAACTAAACCTAGATACATGTCTTTTTACCACAACCACAGATTATACTTCTTTCTATTGTTCTTAAAAAAGAAAGTAATTAGAAGATCAATAAGACTGCATATTAAATTCAGACTAATTATTTCCTCAGTCCCCAAGTGGTCACTGGCAACCGCTCTTCACTTAATCTATTATAGACCTTATTTCCGATCTTTAGATACTACTTTTGTAAGAACAAATGTTGTGGATTTTTCGTAATCGGGGATTAAGAAGCTAAATGGTCATGTCTTCTTTTATCTTGCTTTTTAAAAAGTTTTTGACTACCTTTTTTATCTTTTAATGTTCAAGAGTTACTTTTGAATATCAAAATAATTATATTTACTTGATTCGCAACTGTATAGCAATGTGACAAATTCCAAATAATTTATTAAAAACAAAAGTGGTTTAGATTATTTTATTGGTCAACTGAGTCATTGGTGTGAATGGCCAATGAATCATCATTAACATAGTATGTATTGCTACTAGATATATGTTGACATTGATCTTGGAAAGCTTGTATGACTCAATGCTGCATAATATATTAAAACTAGCTACTACTACGCCGTTTCATCCGCTCTGCTCGGCTCCTGTTGATTGTAGTATTATGTTATATAGCCTATATATCGCCTTCCTCGATAAATGCACTATCCATTACAAAAATAATCATTCAATTTGAACCAGTAGTTTCGGAGATTTGCGCGTTGAAACAAACAAACTCTTCAATAACTAGCTGAACTCGCAACTTTCTCTGCGTTTTTCATAGCTACATACATTAGCTACCTACTTAATTAAAGCGCCGTAAAAAAAGGCAGACAGACAAGCAAAATTTATAAAAGTGTTATTAGGGTATATGTATCGTATATAGTAAAAAGCGGTTATTTTAATATTATAAACAGACACTCCAATTTTATTTATTTATGTATAGATATTTATTTATTTCAATTAAATAGTATAACATTACAGTCATAAAACCAAGGCGTTATACATTTCATATAATTATAAAAAGAAAAAAAACACAACAGAACAGTCCTTAAATGAAACAAACAATAAGAATAAGAAAACCCTAGATATATGAGTAGAAGGACATACTGCCCACATAAATAACTGAAATTTATGCTGACATCTTTTATCCACAAATGGATTGATAACATCATTAAATAATCATTATGACATTGTTGTTTAAGTTTTGTATGTATGTGTGCAACTGTGAAGGACATTGTTTACTTTTATTACATAAGATAATAATATATATTTCGATGAATGCAGGTTTCATTATATATTATTAAATTATTAAATATAAAGGATTGGCGTTAACATAGCCGCGACGTAAACAATAATATGTATAATTAATGTGTGTGTTTTAATATTCCGATAAAAAAAACAATCGTATAGATACAAAGCGAAATAAGTGGAAAGAACATATCAAATTAACATAACACATTAATTTATTTTATATGTTTTCCTGTTCCTAGCAGGTAAACTGATTTTGTTATAAAAATATATATTTCCCATTAAGGGCTCGTACACAAAACTGCGATGCGTCGACGCATCCCAAAAATGTGCGAGCTCCCTCTACGCATCGCAAGAACTTGCGAATTGATTCGCATCGCGTATTGAAATCTTATCTTCTCAAAATCTTCTTTGTTTCTTTTTCCTGTATCTCCTAAGCAATAAGGTCGTGACATGGATCGTAAAAAGAAGTGCACACTTCTTTTTACGATCCATGTCACGACCTAGTTTTCGATTTAAAATACATTTAGTACGGTTGACGGTCATCGAAGGAATGGTTACCCTGGGAGACGCATTCTCGCACGAAATCGCATCGCAGCAATTCGCATCGTTATTTTTGCGATGCGGAATCGCATCGCAGTGTTGTGTACGAGCCCCAAGGCAAATACAAAATAGGTATGTGTATTCTAAACACAAGCCACATTAACTTTAACTCCATTTCCTAATTGTATACATTTTAATGGTCGATATTAAATTTGGATCAATCAGATTTAGATTGTAATCAGTTGTTTGTTGCTTATAACTATTCCTGCAGCTGTAGCCAAATGCCATTTAGCGCTTGTCTACTTGTAGAATAGAAAACTAAATTATATAGAATTGACGTTTTGAACAACAAAAAATTAAATACTTTTCGAAACATTCTGTTTACATCTTGTATACCAGATGAAAAATTTAGAATGTAATTTGTACAAATTATCTGTTATATGTATAAGTTTATCGGGTACCTATCTTCGTTTTCGTCCCGAAGTAAATGTCTCTCGATAATACAATAGTTTTACAAAGAAATAAAATGTTTAAAACAAAAAATAACTGGTGAACCATTGCAAAAGTAAACTTCGAAAGCGCATACCAACTCGTAGTTGGTGGGTTACTCAGAGAAAAGCTCTACTAGTTTCGAACCACAGAGGAGTTCTTCATGAGCTGCGCGACGTCGCCGCGACTGTGCACGAAACTGTAGAAGTGTGAAATTAGTAGAGCTTTTCTCAGTATATTCACGTGAGTAACCCGCGATTTTAGTTAATTTAATATGTTTATGTATTTGTAATGTAATTAAAAAAATATTTTTGTTTCAGAACTTCGCAACGGCTGGTTAATCCGCACCGCGTCCAAATCATTCGCTGTGTACGCCGCTACAGCCACCGAGAAAGAAGAATGGATGGCCCATATAGAAAAATGTATAGAAGATTTGCTAAGGAAAAGTAAGTTTCATATTCATGACTGCACGGTTGGTGCGGTGTGGCTGGGCAACCGGCTGCCGTGCAACGTGTCGCGGGTTCGATTCCCGTACGGAACAACACTTTGTGTGATCCACAAATTGTGGTTTCTGGTCTGGGTGTCATTGTGTATCTGAACTTGTATGTTTCTAAACGCACCCACGACACAGGAGAAAATCCTAAAGTGGGGCAACGTTTTTTAAAGAAAAAAAAACCAAAAAAATATACTTTTATAATATTACTAGCCCGGCCGACCCGGCAAACTTCGTACGGCCTAAAAATTCTTTTTCTTAAATATTGAACCTTCCCTGGACTTCCAAGAACATTTCAAGACCAAAATTAACCAAATCGATTCACCCGTTCTTTAGTTTTAGCAAGCAAGACTAACGAACGGAAATTCGTTTTTATATATAAGATTTTTTCAATGTTTGTGCATAGAATCACTCTGTTTATATCTATCTCCGAATCAATACCTTCTCAGAAATGTCGTCGAAATCAAGTCGACCGCGTGTCTTCACACTCCCGCTTTCTTTCTTACTCTATTAACTGATAGCCGAAAGATTCGCACAGAAAAATATTAAATGTGTTGCCCAATATAGCCTTACACTTGTTATTAGTTTACAAAGATTTTACATTTATCTTAGCTTCAATTTAGACAGGACACACACTCCCGCCTTCTTTCTCACTCTATTTATTGATAGCCGAAACACAGAAGCTCAGAAAATGTGTGGCCAGATGTAGCTTTACATTTGTAATTAGTTTACCGACATTTTACATTTATTTTAGCCTCAATATAGACAGGACACACACTCCCGCCTTCTTTCTCACTCTATTTATTGATAGCCGAAACACAGAAGCTCAGAAAATGTGTGGCCAGATGTAACCTTACATTTGTTATTAGTTTACCAACATTTTACATTTATCTTAGCCTCAATATAGACATGACACACACTCCCGCCTTCTTTCTCACTTTATTTAGGTACTGATAGCCGAAAGAAAGAAGCACAGAAGCACAGAAAAGTATTAAATGCATGGCCAGATATAGCTTTACATTTGTAATTAGTTAACAAACATTTTACACGTATCTTAGGCTGAATATAGATAATACGTCAATGTTCTCTTTTTTATTTGTTGTTTATTTCTGTATTACCATTACAGGTGGCAAGCAACCTCCGTCAGAGCATGCGGCGGTGTGGGTGCCAGATAATGAGGCCTCCATCTGCATGCACTGCAAGAAGACACAGTTCACTGTCCTCAACAGGAGGGTAAGGCACTATAATTAACATTTCTTTTAGCAATAAAGGGAAATAAAATATAGTTTAGTAGCATTCGCATTGCGGTTTGATGAATGATTCAATTGGGATAATGACAGGGTATGAAAAAAAATCTAATTAGTCCGTAAGTTAAGTAATGAAAAAATATTAGACACGTATTTTTTTTATTTTATCGTATAATAAAACAATACTTGATAAAACGAATCAAAGTTTAGGTGTGGGGGCTAAAACGTCATTTCTACGTATAAAATGTACATAGAAGTGATGTCACGCGACATTTCAAATCAATATATCGTCGAAAGTATTCTTTTCTGGAAAAAAATAAAAAATATGTGTCTAATGATTTAAAATAATCTACCAGACGGACATTAAAATAATAATAGGAAAGTGGAACAAGTGAATTTGTTTCTGCAAATAGGCTACAAGGTAGCTCTTTAACACGTCAATTTTATCAAGCGAACGATGAGGTCGAAAGAACCACAATATACACACATGTGGTTTTCCAACCATTATTCAACTTACAACAGCAACCTCTTTCTGTGCCATGTTCCAATATGCACGTAGTAGTACTCAGGCAGGTAGTAGTATCGAGTATGCGTCCGGCGCTCTGATTGGTTGGTTCATTGGCGCCGGCCAATCAGAGTGCCGAACGCGTACTCGTTACGAATACTTTAAACGTAAATGAAACTCGTACTAAGGCCTCTGTACACAATTTGGACGTCGTGTTTGTCTCATTACCGTTTATTACCATTATTATAAAAAAAATTGTTCATTCCATTTTTCCTAAAAAGGGTAACAACTGATATAAACATACTAGCTTGGAATAAAATGCGTGTGTTGTGTTATTCAGACTATAGTCTATTCATATTCCAAATTTTAACAAGATCGCTTCAGTAGTTTTGACGTGATTAAGGAACAAACGTACACGCAAATTCACAAACTTTCGCATTTATAGTATTAGTAAGAAGTAAGATTAATGTAACACCAATTTATCGCCAATAATGTGTTTGCTTTGTCGTATTTATGATTGTTTTTTAACACTCGCTCTCACTTATGACTTGATATTTTCCCTTCATAATAAATTCACGCCTTTTATCCCCGAAGGGCTAAGCAGAGGTGCACATTACGGCACTTAATGCCACTGTACAATGTAACACCCACTTTTCACTATTTTATGTTATGAGTCCCATGTAATAGGGGGTGAGCCTATTGCTATATAACGGGCACATTTCCAAACTCCATGATACTACTAAGATTTTTTGAAAAAACCCAGTAATACTTTGCCCGACCTGGTAATCGAACCCGAGACCCCTTGCCCGGCAGTCGCACTTGCGACCACTCAGCTCACGAGGCAGTCGATAACTATTTTCTTTTATAAAAACTATTTTCACCGTACAATTAATTCCAGCACCACTGCCGTAAGTGTGGGTCTGTGGTATGTGGCCCGTGTTCGTCCAAGCGCTACATTCTCCGCGGACAGAGCGACAAGCCGCTCCGGGTGTGTCTTCAGTGCTACGACGAACTCAACCGGGAGCGCGCCCGCCCCACCCAGCCACAGCCTGCTAATATCACGCCCGGTTAGTTAACATACACGTTTTACTTTAATAATATCTTCTGATTTATTGCGTTGCGGAATCCAAGACAGTTATTCATGTCGCAGAGGACCTAACGGATTACTGGGGCTCCGGCTCGACGTGCAGGAGAAGGACCGGGGTGGTTTTTACTCAGTAAGAGTCTGACACTCCCTCCCGCCTCACCCAGGCGGGAGCAGTCAATCGATTATTTCCCCCCTTCCTTAAAAAAAGACCGCTATTGTGTTTCGGTGTTTTCATGATTGTATCCACTGTAGATACTGGCTTATAGGTGTTGCAGCGGATTTGGGAGGATGTGGTGAGCATGGCCCAAGAAAAAACATTCACTTAACATATTTTGGAATTCTTGGGTATAATATTGTGACTCCTGACTTCCCTATAGTATTTTTAAACTGTTTCCTATGACAGTGATAAATGTATACTTAAAATGTTTATCATACAATGGTATCGTAATGATTGTGTAAATAATATTTATTATATATATATTTATTATATATATATTTATTATATATATATTTATTATTTATTATATATTTATTATAAGAAGGAACGTCGCAGATAAAGAAAGATAGGTGACCTTCGATTTAATCGGCCAAAATGACATAATACAATAATGCATCTGCATGCCGAATCTAGAATGTACTAAGTACTCGAAATTGAATACTAAGCACATATTTTATTTCAAAGTGACTCATAATGCAACCGACGTACAGTGTCATATGAATTATCCTCCATTTCCGTCCATTTTAAACAAACAATATATTGAATAACAAGTAAAAAATACTGTAATTCTTATTAAATATATTCCTAGTACCGTTATCACCAAACCTAACTTAATTTAAAGGTTTATTTATTCTCGTATAACTGTCGATTAGATAAACCCATAGATAAGTTATCTACACCCTAATTTTAATCGAAATTTGTCGCCAGTATAATCTGTACAAACGTTACGTAGGTATTTCATATTTCCGGAATATTAAATACTAGTGGTTTCGAAAATATGGCCGAATCCAAGTAGCTCTAGTTGATGGCCTATGAAACATGGCTTTACTTTTAATTTGCAGTTGATATTAATAACCGGTCTCAATCTGAAATCTGTTGATTTACATCGATTGTTGATTATTTAAATGTGGGAGAGCCATGCTTCGGCATGAATGAGCCGGCTCGAATGGAGTGATACCACGGCCTTACAGAACACCGTCGTGAAACAACGCAAGCGTTGATTCATGACTTGGGATTGAGTTTACTGGTGGCCTAATTTCCCCCTCCCCAATCCCTGAATCCCAAACAATCCTCAAATTCCTAACCCCAAAAGGCTGGTAACGCACTTGTAACGCCTCTGGTGTCCACGGGCGGCGCAGATTGCTTACCATCAGGCGGTCCGTCGGCTTATCCCATAAAAAAAATGTTGTACGGAGTTTCTGTCAAAAACTGAGATTGATCGAAAGGTTTTAGATTTAGAATTGGTTATTAATTTCGACCCTTATTCATTCCTGTCGTAGATTATACGTGACGTTTTTAAATAAATTATGACAGTCATAGTAGTCGTAGAATATTCCCCTACAGCCAATGTTCAGGGAAAACCCTATTTTATTTTAACTGTTTTACCCGCCTTTCCTGTTATTACGAGCAAATAATATCAATTTCAATTTACGCCTAACTAACAAATTAATACGTTTTAAAATCCGCATAATTGCAAACTCTTAAGGTTGATAATCGAATAAATCTGTTTCAACAACTCTCGTCATAAGGACCGAATTTTACCTGCATCGAAAGACAGGCATACTGGCCCTAATCTTCTTTATAAGAAGTTAATCAACGATTTTGTATGTTTTTCAGTAAAAGACACGGCCGGTTCTGGTGGAGATTCTTCAGCTGATGAGGATAGCGATGATGATGACGACCGCGTCACTGCCGAGGAGAAACATGATGAGGTCAGTCCTTATACATAAATATTAGTAGATATGTCGGATTATATGGGGTACACGTCACGTCTTACAAAAATGGCCACTATAATTTTCATTATGCATTAGTTTAGAATGTCAGACAAGTTATTGACTGTGTTGAACCATAATCTTTACTGTTAGACTTACTTTTTATTGCCCATATCTAAATTTTATGATTAGTTAAATCAATGTTACGTAAAATCGGCTAAATACATTACCGCCGCGGTATATCTGAACTTACAAGCCGCGAAGAACTTAACGGCTTGCCGGGGCTCCGGCTCGAAGGGCAGGAATAGGAACGGGGTGGTTTTTAGTTACTAAGCGTCTGACACTCCCTCTCGCCTCACCCAGGCGGGAGAAGACATTCGATGATTTTCCCACCTAAAACATCTGGACTTACAAAATACTAAATATACTTTGTACGTAATTTACTAACCTATACTTAACTACACATATAACATCCATCAAAGTGCACTATTGTACTATGGATATCCTTTTAAAAAGAGTCGATTACTATAATCTCGTCGCTTGGCAGACAGCTCATACCATACGAAACCCGTGGGAACAGTAGGGGTGACAAGTGTATGTTTCTCTGACGTCCCCACACAGCGAGTTATCCTATTAAAAATGATGTCATAGACTAACACAGTGGTGACTAGACTATTATTTACAATTCTAGACATCACTCATATGACTTCGTGGTTATCCAGATTAACAACGGCGTACGTGTCATTAGGTGATTTCAAATTAGGTACAAAAGTATCTTTTTAATTTTGTAAATCCAGATAATTATGTATTTAGCATATTATACAACATTGATTTTGCTAATTATAAATTTTTTATATGGACTATTAAAAGTATAATGTTATGTCTAATAGTAACGATTATATGGTTCACCACGATAAATAAATTGTTTGAAATTTTAAAATTACTATTACTACATAGTATAAAACAAAGTCGGTATCCGCCGTCTGTCTGACCCTATGTATGCTTAGAGCTTTAAAACCACGCAACGGATTTTGATGCGGTTTTTTTTAAATAGTAAGAGTGATTCTTAAGGAAGGTTTATGTGTATAATACATACATATTGCACCTGCGCAAAGCCGGAGCGGGTCGGTATAATGCATAATGAAAATTGAAAGTGGCTATATGATAAGATCTGTCTAGTTTTACATCTTCAATTTTACCTAATTCAACCATTGAATCTTTAAGTTAGGTGTATTTCAGCTCTTTGGAGCTTTGGGGTTGCCTTCTGCACTGCGCAGCCTTGCGTTCTATTATAGTATATTTATATATTATTTGCTATATATTAATGGGATAGTTAATAAACCTGGAATTATGGTATGGGACTTGTAACACATAGCCTAAAGCCTAAATATGCTAAGCTTTAAGTATTTTATAGAATATTATTATATTATAAGCAGTATATTTATATTATGAAGAATGAAATACCGTTGAATGCAGTAACATTGCACTTTGAGAGAGGTCGATTGGTCGCCAGCGTGACATTCGAGCGGGTTCGATACCCTAATTATGGTAATAATATTGACTTCAGTACAATAAGGGAGTCAACATAACTAGTGCAACGAGTGTCACCTCAACCTCTTCAAGAAAGAGATTACAGTACCAACAGTATGTTATTTATTTCTAGGGATTTACAAGTTATAACGGTGTCAAAAATGGATATGGAAATAGAGTCACCACAGTATAGTACAGAATGAGATTGTGTAAGTGTAGAGAATCCTATAGGCGTTTTATTCATGCTTCACGACTTACAAGTTACGGCCACATTCAATTAACTGTCTAGTTGCATATTTTCTTACTAGAAACATAATTATTTATTAAATAAAAAGACGTGGTGCCCCGAAGATTATGGTGCCCGCTTCCAAACCTGGCAAGCACCAATGGGACTTGCCAAGTTTCATGTAATTTCTAAGAGTATTTAAACACCACTGACATCTTTCAAGCAAAACATCGTGAGGAAACCTGGATTTTTAATTTTAAATTATAAGTCTCATCTCGACAATACGGCTTGAGCAAGTGTGGTGATTAAAGTTCGTTCCTTCTCAAAATATTTTCTGCTTCAATCTCATGTCAAAATTATATCTTCTGGTAAAACAATATGCAAATAGACAGGTTATTGACATTGGTCCATAATGGTTGAGTTTGATGTGCTGTTAATCACGTTCACAAGTCCTCGTCCTTCATTGGAAATAGCTAGTTATGTACCTACATCAGTTTACGTAAGCGCAGTCATCGCAGCAATGTATAAGTACTGTGATTTTTTTTTAAATATGTTCCGAAATAGACGTTTGCTTGTTCAATTTCATCTTCTAGTTGTGTCAGGCTACATGTCCTTAAAATGTATTCGTATGTCAATCAGTTTTAGTAAAAAAGTAAAATAAAGTAAAAATAGTTTTTATTCGACACATTCACGTATCGTGTTATTGGTTTTCTAGAAAACAAACCAATTTAGCCTTAACGATCTTTTTGTTTTCAACTTAGAACTAGATTTACAAATTGATCAAGCAAATGTTATTAAAAAAGAAACACATAGATACAAAAAAAACTATAAAATGCATTTCTGTCACACTAAAACATATCTTAATGTTACGTGCATATGTTTTAGTTTGCCCTGTCCATTACATACCAACATTTTGTTCTGTGTGGTTCTTCACATTTTGTTTGAGTTTGGGTTTACTTCATGTCAATAGATTTTTTCACTAATTCGTTTGTCGTGTTGGTTTTTTACTCATCCATAGTGTTTGTTATCATTTCTAAGCTAAAAGCGTAATTTATATTGAGGTAATATTTGATATTTAGCACATCGGCGCACTTTATAATCAAAGAATTATTATTATTAAACAGTTATTGTAATAGCAATGTCATATTATAACCACGAAGTAATTAAGTGACTCATTTTTTATATAAAGCACATGAGAATAAGGCTATAGCCTTATGTACATAGTACATACGTTTGTGCACTTTAAAATTCTTTAAAACTTATACTTAAATAAGAAGAACAAATATTGATTCAGTTCAAGGAAAATCTTAACCTAATAATGTACTGTTATAATACGAAACACGTTGAGGCCATTTCGCTGTAAAATAATGCACTTGAGTTAAAGGAGTGTGCTATACTTACATTCATATATATCTATTTGTTAATGTTAAATTACTTCTTTTAAACTGAAGAGTGGCTTGTATGTGTGCTCTACTGAGCAGTAGCTTACTAGATATGAGCATTGCTAGCCCATGTTTTAACTTGATTCTCATATTTTTGAACTCATAGCCATAGCTTAGTTTACGATTTACAGTATAGAACATTTATAGTACCTATAGAATAGTTTACGTATTTGCTCTTACACCATACAATACACACATAATTTAATTTTATTATTTTAATTTCCAGCCAAAGTTCTACGGTGACAGTGATAAGACTGAAGAGACCAACAACCATTCGTCCAAGGATTCCGCTAAGTGAAAATCTTATTCAAGAGACCACTGTCCGTCAAATAATAATAACAAACAATCTATATATAAACACTTCATCTATTGGATCAGAGTCTTAAACCTGCAATAATATAACCTTTATTTCCTAGGTACTATGGCTCAATTTAGACCCTGATCTATAAAACTCCCTATGTCTAATTCAAAAGACTGTACTTTGTACATTCGATTTCATAACGTCCTTCCAATCACTTCGTGAACGGGATCAATTAAAACTAGACTTGTGAGTATTGGTATCTGTGATCTATTTAGAATTTCTTCCGAAATTTAATCAGGCAGCCTAATCAACTGACTTCATAAAGTAGGTTAGTATGAAGAAATATTATTGATGTTAGTAACCCAGTTGCCTTTTGCTACTAGGGATTAAAACCGATTATTGCAATTAACTATTTGAATTACGATTTCCATGAAAACAGTATTAATACTGTGTAAAGTAAATAATTAATATTAACGTAAAAATTCGCAATACAATCGCGTGACGCGATTGAAACCCAATATTTGTTTGGACGGTCTCCGATTTTACCACAATGGCCTTCGAATTTTTTACCTTAGGAAGAATTTGCTAGATAAAATCCTGTATCATGGATTACTTTAGAGAATCGTAAACTTTTATACAACATACCTGACTGTGGTCAATGATTTTAAGAACGAATAAAATTACTAGATGTTTCGCTGGACTTGAACAGCTTTAAAGTTAAAACCGCTCAAAAGTGAACTGAGGTGGAGTTTTTTGTTTAGTATAAAATCATATTTATTATTTGATAGTAAGACATCATGGTTATAAGACGTTTTTAACAATATTTAGGCTGTCATGTTATGTCAACATATTAATATTTACATACGTTATGTTAAGATTATTTTATTGTAAACTTTATTACGGTCTTATTATGTTTGCTTATTGATTGTCGCTATTTCTGTAGTAGAGAAAGCAAGTTTGAATAAGTTTCTATGAGTTCTTGAAGAGCTCTGGTGCTTGCTTTGTATGTCTCTTTAGAGATATTGTCAATTTAAAATTATTATAACTTTGTCCTCTGATGAGATGAATATAAAATGGTAACTTAAATGCAGTATTTAGAATCAAGTCCAATCCTAATCCAATAAAATATTCATTACAAGGCATATTGAACCTTAACTTGTTTCAGTATGTTCAGCAAAAACTCAGGGCCCTGAATGTAATCTAAAGTCCTTTTTTAAATAGCTATGCTGGATAACATAGAATTTATAGTGAAGTCGCGTATAAAAATGTTCCTTCCGTTCTTGATAACTTGCTTTCTTTTTATCTACTTACTGCGGCAAAACGTTGTAAGAATTAAAAAGATTGGGATACTTAGCCGCATCTTGGAAATGTATTAAGGTACAAATATTTGCATTTTGTCCAACGTTAGTATATTCTCTACATTTCTTAGCGGTCTACAGTTTTTATAAGATACACAGTAAAGGCCTAGAATTTATACTAAAAGGGGAATTGGGGAATAACACTTTTTTTATGTAATTGTTGTTTATTTAAATTGTTTAACCTTTGCTTGTTATTCTATGCAAGTTATTGTACGTGCCCGTACAGGTAAAAAAGACAAAATTATACTCGAAATCTACAATGTGATGTCTGCGTAAACTGCGTACATAATGTTCTAACATTCGTTGCTGTGACATCTAAGTCGCATCACATTTCATTAAAATGTATACAATCCAAACTAATTATAGATTTGTATGTATATTAGAGTTCTAGTATATAAGAGGTGCATTAAGTTTGTTTCAGTGCGAAACACGGTTTTTATGTTTAGGTATTTAACACGAAGCTTGCAACACCATCTGTAATGTAAGCGATTCGTAAAGAAATTATTTATTAATTTAACATAGGCCTAAATGTTAAACGATTTACACAAGTTGTGTTAATTCCCGTAATACTAGTAAGTGAAAATTATGTTAATAAGATATTGTTTAATTTTCAGTTGACAAATATAATATTTTTTAAAATTATTGGTTTTATTTTCACTAGCACGTAATGTTTCCTCCCTAATCCTAAACCTTATTCCAAAGCGGTGCACTTTCACGCAGACATACTTTGTTACATATAGTAATCAACGAAATTAATGTTGTTTTCCAAATCGTTGGTATAATAAAATCTGAAGTATAAAAATAAAATTAACATAACATAATCGCGTCTTTTATCCCCGAAGGGGTAGGCAGAGGTGCACATTACGGCACTTAATGTCCTTGATGATAACATAGTAGAAAGGAAATGCACCAAAAAGTAGGTAATGATAATGAATGAAATTTGACTATCAATGCAAACGTACTATTTTGACAACAACAATAGTAAAAATGGGTAATCATACTCCTCTCACTTTAAGGTGATACCAGACGCTTTACCTACTCGAATGAATATTAACCCTGTGAATGTTTCATCTATCTTTCATTCCATGTTCCGACGACTTTAGTTTTAATGATAAAGAAATGAACAATCAATAAATTTTAATTAAACAGTCATTGAGTGATGTGCGTCGCGTAATCAATTTAATTTGTGATCAGCTAATCATTTCAGCGAATTTTTTGTTCATTCGGATGAGGAGTGAATGATGCCGAATGGCAAAACCCATCTTTGGATCGGTTCACTAATGAATTAATTCTGCACGCTTCATTCTCATGTATTTTTGAATGAAAGTCAAAAATTTACCGTCTGCCTTGCCTCTACTTCCGTAGTTCCTGCCCACTTTTTTATGGACTTATATTATCTTATGAACTTCTGGTACATACCTCGGAACGAATATGATATATATTTTGATAGCATCTGATTAGAGGTATAGAATACGACAAATATTATCTTTTATTACAATTCTGTTTTAGTCTAAAATGATAATTTCATTTGTAAAAACCTCAGTTATAGCACATAGCTGGAAATGTGCCCGGTATATGGCAATAGGCTCACCTCCTATTACATAAATAGTGAAAAGTGGGTGTTACATTGTACAGTGGCATTAAGTGCCGTAATGTGCACCTCTGCCTACCCCTTCGGAGATAAAATGTTATGTTAATTTCATCGATAAATTCAGTTGACGCGAGTAGTGGACGAGTCACCCTTACTAGGTGATAAATTGTTTAATAATAAAAAGGCCAGCGAAATAACACAAATTTGTCCGTCAAACATTTATTTTCCAAAAAGACATACAATACGTATCTCGCTTACAGCAGTCTTTCCTATCCTCATACATTTCATCACAGCTCGAACCAGTTCAATCATTTTTTAATTTTTTCAAGTCTTTCTTATATTTTCGTTACACTTACTTATTCTAATCACGACATAATTATATTAATGACTGATTTCAATAATTGAAAAGAGAAATTACAAAATGGTATCGGATACATTGATACTGATTTAATGAATAATTACTGAATCTACACACTACTAACTATTACGGAGAGAAAAAATACAAATATGATTTTTCAAATACGACAAAAATTGTACGTTTCTACTACAGATTACAGGTTTCTATTGAAACTACTTTGTGATTACACATAAATATAATTAAACATCAAAAATGTTATATGGTGTGATCCATAAAACATTGAGCAATTTCTGCGATTGGTTATATAGACACCTATATCTTACTGCTGCCTATCCAATGGGATAAAGGCGAGCATATTGTATACATATATTAATAATCTTATTAGATCTAAAGCAGTGTTTCAACGAGTAGATTACATTTGTTACCACCGCTGATCATCCCACGAGAGTCGACTTAACATAGACTTGGCAGCAGCGTTCTCCGATAAATCGAAACAAGACCGCATTTTGATTGGTTGGTTCATTCGACCCGGCCAATAAGGGGGCTTACTCTTGAATCCAATTCCGATCGATCGACATTGGTATTGTGAATTTTCGTACACTTGAATTGCGACACTAGCAACCATTGCATCCGTATTGCGTGGATATTTAATAAACTAAATGGTATTGAGTTTGGCTTTACATTCCGTACTCTGAATGCTATTGTAAGAGCTACGATAAGGGTCGTATAGATTTGACATTGAATAATTATTGAGATTTTATTAGATTGATATTGAGATTGATTTCAAGAGTAAGCACCCAGAACGCCTAACGCGTTTTCGTTTCGATTACTTAAACTGTCAAACACCAAGCGGTCACCGGTGACCGCGACCTATTGTTCTTTAATTGTGTCTATAAAACCGGTACTCGGCGAGTTAAAACGTAAAACAAAATCGTACTAAGCTATCTGATGCCTGAGTACAGAAAGACAACTCAATTTGAAGTTGTACTTATATAGTGCCATCTCTGTCATTATACAAAGAATTTGAAGTGACAGAACTATACTTAAACTATACTCAAACACTGCGAGGACACCGGTAACCGCAACCTATTGTTCTTTTTGTGTCTATAATGACGGTACTCAAAGAGTTAAGCGCGATTCAAAATTTAGTGGAGTTTGAATATTTGGATGTGAATGTTTTAGAGTGCGATCTCCAACCCATTTTCCAAGACTGAAAATAAAGACTTTTTTTTAAGGGCGGAAAATCATCGATTGACTGCTCCCGCCTGAGTGAGGCGAGAGGGAGTGCCAGACTCTTACTGACTAAAAACCACCCCGTTCCTTCTCCTGCACTTCGAGCCGGAGCCCCGGTAACCCGTTATATTCTAACAGTAGACTCTCATGGGATAATGTTGATAATTATGACGATTATATTATCGAACTTAATACTAGACTAGTTTGCGGTATTAGCGGCCAATTCAAACCATTGCCGGAGGGCGTCGCCCAGTACTGTTGGTAACGCTGACATATCGCGGAGTATCAAATAGAATGGGAACGGGAATGTGTCCAAGTATGAGACGAAGCCGGTGAGAGCGTTCGTTGTTGGGTCCAGTAATGGCCGTCTGATGTCCATTATGGAGTCCTGAAAAAGAATGGACTAATTAGTACTATGTTTATGGAATACGATAAATTTGCTGTTTGTTTTATTAAAGTTCTAGTTGTTCTATACAGAGCAATAAAAAACACGACCAATTGGGTACTTGCCAAGAAGTCAAAAACAATACTTTTTTCGAACTGTCAAAAACGACAGTTTTCTATTAATTTTATACGAGATTGTATATTGTGACGTCACGTTTTTTTTAGGGTCAAACAACATACTTATTTCTTAAAAAAAATCTAGAAAAATACTAAAATTAAGTTGGTCATAAAATCAATAAATGAAAGTGTGATTTTTTTAATATTTTATTGTATTTCAATACACAATTTCAGTTGAAATAATTTATTTTTGATGAAGGCCAATACCCAATTGCATTAATTTGATGCAATTTCTCACGTCGCGTCGTGAACAAGAACAAGGCTTAATTTGTACCAAAACTATTATAACAAAGACAACAATTATTTGTATTGAAGTCGGTTATTACCTTATTATCAGGATTATCGATGATGACGTATACCAAGAATATTCCTTGCTGCCTGGCCCGACGTACTGCCTGCATCACCCTGGTTTCTCCCTCAGAGAATATTCCTCGACCATCGCTGACGATCACCAACAACTTGGCATTAACAGCATCACTCTTCATCGTCTGCTCTTCAAACATAACGGTGCAGAAATCAAGCAATTGTGCGATCTTAGTCTTAGTTTGTTCAAAGCGCAACTGTTCTAGAATCTTCGAACCGGAATGTTCGGAAAATTGCTCCGTAAATGGATGGAGTAGGTTCGGTTTTTCACCGAAACTCAGAACGGCTAAGTCACCGGACTCGAGGAGGTTCAACGCCTGAAAATTAAAAACAAAAAAGAACAATTAAAATTATGTTGACAATATAATAGTTTTACAATTACAGTTCCAAAAACGGTCTATGGTCATGCATCGTTGCAAATCTATTTTTCAAGTAGGCCATCTTTTTGTAAACAATAAAGAAAAATTCAGAAAATAAACATATGTCGAAATACTCAAACGCTACTCAATTTTAAGTCGGGCATAAGTATAGTTCTATCTCCACAAATTCTTTGTGAAATGACAGAGACAGCACGATATTTAAGCACGACTTAAAATTGAGTAACGTTTCAGTATTCCGGCAATAGACCATAAGAACTATTAATACCGCAATCTCTAAAAATATTACTTTTAAATACCTAATTTAATCCAATATTACTTTAAATAAAATTTCTCCTACCTGTGAGACGAGAGCAAGACTTTCAAAAGCGAGTTCCTTGCTCCTATTATCGGACATGGAGCTGGAATCGTCCACGGCTATAGCGATCTTGTATTCACGTTTAGCTGGTTTAGTGCGACGGAGCCAAATGCGGTCCTTTCTGAAGTGGGACGCTATGTACGGGATCACACGACGCATGTTGATAGAGCGCCCTGTTCTGAAGTCACCTGGAGAAGGAATTAAAAAAATATATTTTAACTCTTTTCTGACTAGAATCGTTTTAAATAGAAGTGCTGACTTCAATAACCTTATGGGAAGAATATCATTGAATTTGTCATATTTACTAATACTACTGTATTGTTTAAATTAATTATTAATTGTATATAAACATTCTATACTCGCTTTCCTTGAAAGAACGGTTATTGTAAATTTTAATATAATAGCAAATCCAGGAAGATTATTTCAGTATGCAAGTTAATCAATCACCATCTCAACATCAGTAATTATTTACTCATAACAGTTTAAAACATACCAGCTTTCCTCGACCTGCCAGTAGGCTCAAGCACAAGTCTCAGTCTCTCACACAGAGCCCGTGCGGCGGCCGAAGAGTCTCTCCACAAAGACCGCCACACTGGTACGGTTCCCTGAGACCGCGAGGGACCGCTGGCCAGCCACTGACGGATGCTCATGTACTCGTCCACTGATAAATCGTCCGCGTAACTCTGGCTTTCGTTTAACCTGTAGGAGAACAGTAGAATTAAAACGTGAAGGAATTTAAGGTGAAAAAACGAACTAAACTTAGGGAACTCTAGTCACTGTTCCCTAAAACTAAAATATTGTGCCATCTCCGTCATTTTACAAACTAATACTACTTATACGAATAAAAAAATACTAATTACAAAACTTACTAACATAAATTTCATTTCTTGATAAATATTCTGATACAAGAATTTTATTAATTGGTAACGCATATGCGTATGTCGTATAAAAGGTAATTTAGTTACCTTTTATTTTAAGTTGTAGAGGATTCGATAAGATGATAAAACCGTAGTTGTTCCGTTTCTTTGCCCCCTAATGTAGTGTATGTACCAAAAATACAATACCGTACATATTTAAACCTTACCTAGTATGATAAGTAGTATCAGTCCCCCTGGGCACGTGTGCAGTAACAACGACTTCTCCCTCCACCTCCACCCCAGTCTCCCCTGTAGGCTCCTCCCCTTCTTCATTCTTACTTCCACTCTTATCTTGTTCCTTCTCTTTATTTCCTTCTTTCATTTTCTCCGGCTTCAATTCCTCTGCTTTCTCCACCTGATGATTATTTAGTTATTTACAATTTTTCATAAAGTTAATGGACATTTGGATGGATGCGATGGTTAAAGATTATGTATTAATAGAAGAACAATGTATTATTAAGTTTCGTGACTTTTTTGATGAAACGATGCTGCGATGACCTGTTAGAAAATAAGCATGATGACGACGCATGACTGTATGAATGAAGGCGACAGTTGAAGAGGTTGGTAGAAGCTCGAGAGACCAGAAAGATATAAGAACACAAGTTCGCAAATGCAGTACGCACAGAATGCTACCAGTTTTCTCCTTATGAATAGTATTTATTTGCTTGAAATAGGGACATGATGTCAATCATAATAACCAACTTAAGAAAACATAACTTTTCCAAATCATTCCCTAACAAGTACACAAAGCACGCCAATAGCCTAGTTTTAGACTAGTTTGTAAAAGACATTTCTACTTTATTTCCTTAATGTCTTATATTATATATTATCATCATCAAAACCCCATCACCAGAAGCACGACCATCACCATAAAACCCTGCAACTATAGAATAAATAACCTGTAGTTCCTCTTCATCAATATCCATAGGAACTTCTTCGTCTTCCTTCAGAGGCTCAGCGTTTTCTTCCTCGTCTACTAACATTGGCTGCTCGTCTGCTTGTTCTTTAGTCGCAGCGTCTATCGCCTGCACAAGTTTAGCCGAATTATCAATATGGTCAAAAGGACCTAGTGTTTGGAGTACACCTGAAAATCTGAGTTCTACTTTAGTGAAAGACCGATCAAGTTAATTATCATAACTATATAAGTAATAAAGTATTTCTTTCAACAAAATTTTGTACATGTAACATTTTTCTGAATAATATTATACAAATCTTTGGAGTTGCTTCAATTTTATATAAATTGTAACGTAATATTATATATAGCAAATAGAAAATGATGCGTAATTGATATTCGATACTCAATAAAGTAAGGGAAAAAAATATTTCAAAAATCCAGATAGTTATTTTTGCAGTATTTTATATAACAAACCAATCGAGATAGTCTTCTTTTAGTTCCAATTTACAGTGAGACTACAATATCTGCGCGATCAATAATACCGAATATAGCGAGCAATAACCGATTTGATAAATCATTAATTTATAATTATTATAATTGACCGGCCTTTCTACACAGAAATCTACAACATCACAACCCAACAGACAACTCATACCTGGTTATCCTGAGCAATCTGTGTATCAAACCTAATTTCTAATAACTTTACCTGCAAATCATCCTTGTTGGCTTGCTTCACGTGTTGATAGGCGTCTGCTTGTTTCTCCGCATCCTCGTCGTTGGCGCCACCTTCGTCAGCGTCTTCACGTTCGACGTTGAGAGTTTTAGCTTGCTTGTGTTTCTTTTCATTGACGTCACCTAATATCGGATTTGATTATACGATATTAATTATATAAGAGTGCGTTGGATTTGCTTCAAATCTTTTTTGGACTAGTGATAGTAATTGCCTTATTGGCTGAGTGTTCGCAAATGCGACTGCCGGGCAAAGGGTCTCGGGTTCGATTCCCAGGTCGGGTAAAGTATTACTGGGTAAAAAAATATCTCAGTAGTAGCACGGAGTCTGGAATTGTGCTCGGTATATGGCAATAGGCTCACCCCCTATTACATGGGACTCATGGCATACATATATAGTGAAAAGTGGGTGTTACATTGTACATGCATTAAGTGCCGTAATGTGCACCTCTGCCTACCCCTTCGGGGATAAAAGGCGTGATGTTACATAATAATGTGACAGTAATTAAGTGAATAACTTTATATTATTTGTGTTTCACAGTTCATAGCTATCCTTAAGGAGCGCAAAGACCCTGAGAAGGGATTTGAGACAAATTTTCTAATGAAGATGAGGGGGGGGGCTCTCCCGCAAAATTTGTAACAACATTATGTAGACATTGGCTAGTCGCCGTGTTATTATATGTAGTTAAGAACTCAATTGCTTTTAGTTAACACATAGGATGCCGTGTTGGACAATGATGTCGGACGCTAGCGGAGGATTACCCTTTAACAGTTTTTGTCGGCAGTTAAACGCTTAATCCCTCTAAAACTTAAAATCATCTATGACTTGGCTAATCTTAAACATGTAAATATATAAAAAATAGTGCTTCCTTGCTGGTGCAAAAACAGCTATTACTTTACTTGACTTACCAAGCGTCCGTTCCTGGTCAGTCTTGCCAGGCTTGTTCTCATGTTTCTTGCGTTGTTCCTCAGCGCGGTCAGTATGGCTCGCTGCCTGCTTCTCCCCGCGATGGCCTTTGTCACTCTTATCTAGTTCTGAACGACCCGTCGACTGTTTCTCTTCAGTATTTTTATCTTGTACTTGTTCCTGTGTAATCAAATAATTGTTAAAATTGAATTGAATTTCTGCAAACTCTCAAAGAGTGTATTTGCAACCTTAACCTGTTAAAAATCATCCCTTAAAGTTGTTTGTACAAAAGTAGTCTCTAAACATCGGAAATAAGGTCTATAATGTAGTTAGTGGAGAGCGGTCACCGGTGACCGCTTTTCTAACATGAAAATCTAAAATATTTTTTTCATTGTCTCTGGAATATATTTTGACGCACTTGTTTTAAGACAAGCACATCTATAGATTCTAAGAATCTAGGTTTACATCATACAGCAAAATATGTGTAACCCCTTTAATATTCTTAACAAAAACTAGCTTCTGACCGCCACTTCGTACGCGCACGCCCGCTGTTTCCCGTACTTGTTCGTGATTTTCGACAAATAGTAAAAAAATATTGGATAAAAAGCTACCTCCCCAGCGATTTTCATACAAATCTATTAAGCGATTCTTGAGTTATAAACAGTTTAAGCTCGTCATTAACCGTTTATCAATCTCCCCTAACTACATGAAGACTATCAACTAAATAAAACTTCAACGCTACTTACATAGGGACTAGATTCATCCTCCTTGTTCTGTTCAGCATTAGTTTCCACATTATCATCCGTTCCTTTCTCCATTTGAGCATTCTCAGCCTTATCTTCTGCAGTTGGGTCATTATTCGACGGATTAGCTTGAGGATTAGCTTCTTGATTCTTCTGTTCTACTTCATCCTCTTCTTCTATCTTCTCAGGATTCTTTGGCAAGTCTTTTTCTTCGTTTTCTGGTACTTCTGGTGTTTCTGTTTCTTCTGGTGCTGTTTCTTGGTCCACTTCTTGACCACCTTCTTTCTCTTCTTCGTTCTCTTGTGGCGTATCTTCTGGACTTGGTTTTTCGCTGTCATCTTCTTTGTCTTTTTCCTGATTGGTAAAAATTGTATTAGTGATTGTGATTTTAAGTCAAGTTGTAATTTATGTAATAGACGCAAAAGGATTTTGTATCTAAATTAAATTTTGGAATGAGATTTTTAAACAGGACAATACATTATTTTTTCTACAGAACTTTATAAATATCTTATTATTTATCCCTTAGCAATGACAAATATGAAGTGCTCAAAGTGATTCAATTCTTAACATACAAAATAATAATATCGCCCTAAACCATCAACAGCACATACCTTATCGTCATTTCCTTCCTCGTCCGCACCGTGGTCTCCCCCATCTTCCTCATCATCAGACACGTCTAGTCCATTGTTAGTGTCCTTGCCGTCTTCACCTTTATCATCCTCTTTTTCAGGCTCCTCCGGTATATTCTCCTTCATGACATCAATGTCGAATGGATTCTCTGTTTCAGTTTCTCCATCCTGTTCCTGTGATTAAGAATTAACATTTAGCTACCAATTAAAAGTTTTTAAATACAATTTTTTCCTTAAATGCCATACATAAAATGTTTTGGTGTATTTATTTATTTTATACTTTAAAAATTGTATATATTGTAATAGTAATTTGAGTACAATGGGCGGTCTTCTCACATGCGGCGATTTCTTCCAGACAAACTTTGGATGGGATATTTGAATGTATGTGTGCGCCAAGTGTATTAACAAAACATTTCACAAAACTAAATAATAACATAATTCTTTATTACATTATATTATTCGACTTACTCACGTAATTGTAACTCTTCTTTTATAATATCCTACTGGTTGAATGGTGAATTAGAATCAAAGTAGAATCTAGTAATGATTGTAATAAGATGAATAAAGACAATAGAAAAGCATTGTATCCGCTAGCATCAGCATGAAGACCACAACATAAATCTCGAAGTAACTCACAAAAAAATTGGACTTACATCATCGCCAAGATCATCACCGTCGACATCCATGTTCTCAGGCAGCTCAAAGTCCTCCGGTTCTGGGAGAGGCTGCTGGTTACCATGGTAGGGATCCGTCTAGAGAAATAGAAAATATGTATAGACAATCTATTCTAATATAAGACAAGTTTTTATAATGCTAAGAGTCTGTTCTAAACAAAAACTTGACGTATTTTCGTATTATCTTTCAAAAAAACTTTAAGACTTGGAATATGCTCAAACTACAAAACATTTGAAATTAATTATAATTCCTTTACATTTGCTTCTTCTTTAATAGGGTAGTATCCTACATTTTATTTTAATGTCCGTCTGGTAGATTGTTTCAAAATTTAGACACATATTTTTTCTTTTCTTACAAAATTAATGAGTTTCGACGATATATTGATTTGAAATATCGCGTGACGTCACGATTTACTAAATTTTACAGTGTAGCGTGACGTAACGACCTCCCTCTCCTAAACTTAACTCCGTTTTATATACGTATTGTTTTCTTATACGACAAAATAAAAAAATACGTGTTTAATATTTTTCATCATCTAACTGACGGACTAATTTTCATACACTGTCTACCCTATTAAATGACTTACCTGATCATCGTCCAACTCTGGTTCTTCCATTTCATTGATATCTTTCTTCTTCTTCTTATCTTTACCATCGGCTCCATCATCAGCACCTTGTTCCTGATCATCTTTAGCTGACATCTCTTTCTCTCCCGTACTTTCTCCTTTACCTTTTTCTTCTTTATCCTTCTGTTTTCCTTGTTCTTCTTCATCTAATTCTTCTTCGTCTTCTGAACCCCAGATTTGTTGGTCAAGTCTATTAAGAATAATTTATTTGAGTATGTAGATGGATATTCTCATTGAAGCCTTTACTTATGATGGTAAAGGAATTAACGTTTACTGCGACACCGTGGACGGTAAGTCGGTAAGACCGGTACATCTATCCTGGCATTCCCGACCGCAATTAGGGACAAACAGTGCAGTTACATATAGAAAATATTACTCTTTTAACTAAAATCGCGAGTTACTCACGTGTTTATACTGAGAAAAGCTCTACTAGTTTCGAACCACAGAGGGGTGCAGCGTGCGCGGTCGTGGCGATGTCGCGCAGCTCACTAATAAAGCTTTTCTCAGTATATTTACGTGAGCAACCCGCCATTTTAGTTATAAATTAACTCACGATAGTTATTATAAAAACACTAGCAACTTGCGCGCGGTTTCACCCGCTTTGCTCGGCTCTATTGGTCGTAGCGTGATGTTTTATAGCCTATAGCCTTCCTCGATAAATAGAGATAATAGACTATCCAACCCAAAAAGAATTGTTCAATTCGAATCAGTAGTTTCGGAGATTAGCGCGTTTAAACAAACAAACAAAAAAACAAACTCTTCAGATTTATAGTATTAGTATAGATTACTCTTTTAGCTTATAGGAGCACCCTTAGTGAAATTAAAACCAATCAAGCTACTGTCTTTTCATATAAACTTACTTGTCAGCAGCATTATCAATGTCACCCATTTGTTTATCAGCATCGTCTTCGTCATCCTCTTGGTCTGATTGTTCTCCATCTAGGATTTAAAATGACAATTTAGAACAGAAATTAATATCCTAATCTAGAAGTGAAAGTAGTAGTTTCTTAACATCTCAGTCACAGCGTATTTCACCGGCGACCTACGTCAGTGTTAAGATAGCATCCTAATAATAAAGCTTACCTTTTTTATCAACATCTTGCAGATGAGAGTCAAAGTCATCAGTCATATTGACTCCCTTCTCTTCTTCTTTACAATCTCTGTTCTCTTCTTTTTTCTCTTCTCCCGGTTGACGAGCGTCGTCTAACTGGTCCTAAGGAAGAAAATTACCATTAAATCGTATAAGTTAAGAAGTAATCATGAAGAAAATCAAAACTATTTTTTAATTATGCTCGCAGCAGGTTACCGCTGGCAGTAAGTCTACTTTCGAACACGAACACATCAATAAGAAAAATCGTGTAGAAATATTATCATACAACACTGAAATTACCTGATTCTCAATTCTCTCTGACACATCTTTCTGGCCCTCTCCTTCCCCCAGGCCCATACCGCCTGAAAACTTGCCAGTACCACCTTCACCCTCGGCCTCATCCATATCTAAGTCCGAAGGCTTGCAGAAACTGTCGACAAAACAATAGGTATTGTAGATTGAAGATTTGATAGACGAATAGAAGAAGATTCTTATACTGCCAATTTCAAAAACCTATATCAATCGAAAACCTGTTGATAAGGATCGATTTTTAACATCAGATGTATGGAGTTTATGTCAAAAATCTTAATTCACATATTTTGGATCAAATCAAATCATTATCAAATTAATATCAAATCTTAATTCACCTATTTTGGATTGGGATATGTTACTAAAATTGGTGACTGCCAATAAACCAGAAAAGATCTACTTTTGTCTGTCTACGTTATACATCGAAATCAAAAAACTCAACAATAAATTTCCAGATGTATGGCGTCAAAAACCACAATATTAGTCAAAATAAATCGTTCACAACTCACCCTTTCGAAGCCAAATCCGAGAAGATCTTCAATAATACAGACAGCATCTTGCACGATACTCTATGCACAGAAACTTTTTGCGTCACAAAGTATTGGACAAACAGCACAGTTTGTTCCAATATTGGCACCGCCCTCATCACCGCAGTCCTGACTTCTTCATCAACATTATTAATGGCCAGATGTTCCACATAGTTGGAATACAACAACTGAGTTTTATTTATAAGAGATTCTAGTTGGAGCATTCTGGTATCGTTACTAAGCTTGTCCTGCAAATGTTCCTTCAAATGTTTGTCTTCAACTATGTCTTTAGGTTCTTCTTTATCGCTCTTTATAATTTCGTCTATAGCGTTTATTACTTCAGCATTTTCTGTCGTGTCTGGTGGCAGATGTTTCTTGTACACAGATTGAATGATCAGCAGCATCGTAGCTACCAAATCTTCTGTTTGAGTAACAAGTTGGTTGGTATTAACCTTTGTCGATTTTGGTGTAACGCGTTTGTCCAATTTGACCAGTTCGCGAACTGTTTGCTTCAGATAAGTTACTAGTTTGTTTATACTTTTGAGTAGAGGGTGGCTTGGTGTATGCTCGAAAGTAGATAGTTTGAATTTGAACTGATAGTCTTGTAACAAACTATCAATGTCGTTGATCATATTTTCTATGTTGACTTTACAGTCATTTGCAACGTTAGCATGAGTTTGGGACGCCAAAGGATTCTCTTTACCTTGCCCTTCTTTAGGCATGTCATTCGATATTTTATGTAGCGTGTTCTTTTGTTTATTAACGTTTGTTATTAGGGCTTTAATTCTCTTGTTTAGATCGCGCCATTCGTCGGTGTTTTTGTAACAACGAACTATTTTGGAATCGGAAAGGACGTTGTCAAATTCTGGTTCGTTTTCTGAATCTAAGCCTTTTTCTGGACAAGATTTGAGTACGGCATTGAATTGTTCTAGAACAATGCCAGTGTTGGCGTAGCATTCTACGAGTAGTTCTATTTTTGATCTTAGGGAAGATACGTTTGTTTCTGTATCGTCAAAGTCGAGAGCGTCAATTAGGTTTGTAGAAAGGTTGCGAAGGTCACAGAGGTAACGAGAATATTTTGATATGGATTTCTTTTGTGTGTTCGTTATTTTCTGGAAAAAAGAATTGAAGTATGTATTTATTAATTAATCGCTAGTATTCATTGTTTCAAAAAGTAAGTACTTTTTCATTGTAGTAGTAGTTTCGCTAGTGTTCATTGTTACAAAAAGTTCTTACTTCTTGAAACAAAACTTTTACACTAGCGTATTGTTATATCCCTGATATGTAAGGGTTTATGCTGGGATGACATAAGAAATGCATCATCATCATTATTATATCTTAACGTGTAAGGTGGCATGCCAGACCCCTCAGTCTGAACTAGATCTCCGAACGGTACGGTTGTATACTCAGTCCTTTAATTAATTAAAATAGTTTTAATATAAAATTAGTTTTTTTTAAAAAGAAATCCTAAAGGACTCTCGTAACATTTTGGTGGCAGCGGTGGGATCCGGAAATATCCAGTGCCGTTCCGCAGACTCGCGCCGGATCTCGAAATATCGTGAAACATCCCAAAAAGTGTAATCAGATAAGTGAACTTATCACCCACTGTGTTACCCGTGTAAAACCCTGGAAAACTCCTAATCGTAATTCCGTAACCATATTACGAGTCCTGAGACAAAGTGTCCAAAGGGAGCCTATTATCCTATATCAGTGACCTGTGAAGTGAAAATAAAATCAGTGTCCTGTGAAGTAAAATCAGTGTCGTGTGAAGTGAAAACCCTATCCTTGTCCTGTGACTAAAGGATACATTAAAACCTCCTGTCTGTCTCTCCATTGAGTGATAGCCACTCAATTCGACCTTCGACACATCCTGTCGGAGAGAGAAACAGTCATTCGCCACACATCGTGCTTCGGAATGTTCCCCGTCAGCGTCGCCGTCGCCGTCGCGCTCTTATCAGCTGCTCAAGTAGTAACGATACAGTAAGTCTTTGGTCATTGTTTTAATTCTATTTTTAGAGTTCCGTTGGCATATATGCAAACGTTTTTCATTGTTATCGTATCGAATTAGAGTCCTGAATACATTTGGCGAAACTCTTCGTTTCCTTGGCTAGTTTAATGCAATTATGCTAAGTGCCAAAACCGAAGAGTTCTCTTACGACAAGTCTGAAGAATCCGTAGAATCCAAAGGTAAAGCACCTCGACAACCATCACCATCTTCTAGGACTACTAGGGCTAAGTCAAAAATCCTCGAAATGGATATCAATGCCTTACTTAAATTCATTAAACCATACGACGGGAGTAGGGAACACCTAAATGCATTCCTTATTAAATGCACAAACGCCATGGAGTTGGCTACCGACATCCAAAAACCAATATTATTCAAATATATAATTAACTCCTTAGAAGGTAAAGCGGCAACCACCTGTGCTATTAAGGAATTTAGCGACTGGTGTCAATTAAAAGAATTTCTCAAAACCCAATTCAGTGAACATAAACACTATACACACCTATTAACCGAACTACAAGAAAGTAGACAGGACACACACGAGACGGTAAGTCAATTCTCCCTCCGAGTCGAAACTGCTCTTTTCCACTTACTCACAGAGATCTCATTGGCTAATTACCCACAGAAAGAAATTCCTGGCCGTATAGCCTCCATGGAGGACCTTGCTTTACATCATTTCCTCATGGGACTACTACCGAGGATTTCAAACTTGGTCAGAGCCCGTAACCCTAAAAACTTTAATAGTGCTGTAAATTTGGCTATGTCTGAAGAGAAAATACAGAATAGTCAGTTCGCTAAAAGAAATGCTTCCCAAGCACAATCCAGCAGCACATTTAAACCCCATCAAAAGTCGTCCAACAAACCTAATTCTAATAACTTCTCTTCACAATCTAAAAAATCGTCGTTCACCGTGAATAATAACAACACCCCTAATATCTCGGGATCGTCAACGTTTTGCAGATACTGCAAGGCCACGGGACACGACATTAAAGATTGTGAACTACGTATAACTAATAATAATCGCCGCAATCAAAAATCTAACGATAACCCTAACAACCCTCTTCCTAATCGCGTGTCTCACGTAAATGAATATGATGATGCTCCTGACAGCGACCACCAGGATGAAAATGACCCTTTAAACTAATGAAAGTCTCGCCCCGGTGTCGTTCGAGGCTATCACCGAAAATCGACACCAATCACATGTCCCAATCCAATGACCTTAAAATCTACGAAATAAATATCGATACAACAAAAAGGTTGTTACCCCATGTCCTTCTAGATTCTCCTGTAGCGGAAATACCGCTCTCCTTACTTGTCGATTCCGGCTCGGCAATCTGTTTACTAAAACATTCCACTATTAGTAAACCTCCCAGGCTTATTAAAGAGCCAATCAAACTCAAGGGTATTGACCCAGGCAATGAGCCAACGACCACTGAAGGTCACTTCCAATTAAAACTAAAAGTATCCCAAAGGATGTCCATTCCTTTTAAATTCCATGTCGTAAAAAATATCGACCTACCCTATGATGGCATCATCGGTACAGATTTCCTTACTACGTTTGGTTGCAAAATCGATTACACCAATGATGTGTTGAGAATCGGCAACCAAATTGTAAAACTACACTTCTCCAAACCCTTTTATATAATTCCACCCCGTACCGAATCCGTCATCGAATGCTCTGTCCAAGAAACCAATCTCAAGGAAGGAATCATAGCAGACCAACACTTATCCAGTGATCTATTAATTTCCAACTGTATTGTCAAAATAAAACATAATAATCGAATTAATCTTACAATAGCTAATACGTCTGATAATTACGCGCATGTTAGACCAAACTTGAAATTAAATGTAGAACCATTATGTATTAGTTCCTTCCCAGTCAATACAGACATCCAAGGGACTCTTGAACGATCAAATCAAGTAACCAAATCCCTCAGAACCGATCACCTTAATCAGGAAGAAATATCCGCACTCAAAGAGCTATGCTCCCAATACTCCGATATATTTCATCTTCCTGATGACCATCTGACATACACGTCAGCCCTCGAACACAATATTAAAACGACCGATAACACGCCCGTACATACTAAATCATACCGTTTCCCCGAATGCCATAAAAAAGAAGTAGAAACTCAGATCAATAAGATGTTAGATGACAACATCATAGAACCCTCATCATCCCCATGGAGTTCACCTATATGGATAGTCCCCAAGAAGCTGGATTCTCAAGGCCAACGCAAATGGCGAATAGTAATAGATTATCGTAAACTAAATGACATCACCATAGGCGAAACATACCCTATCCCACAAATATCTGAAATACTCGACCAGTTAGGGAAGAGTAAATATTTTACCACCCTAGACCTTGCTTCCGGCTTCCATCAAATTCGTATCGCCCCGGAAGATGCTCCTAAAACAGCATTCTCTGTTCCACAAGGACATTTCCAATTTAACAGAATGCCGTTTGGACTGAAGAATGCACCATCTACCTTCCAGAAGCTCATGAACAGCTGTCTTACAGGCCTTCAAGGTACTAGATGCTTCGTCTATCTCGATGATATCGTAGTCTACTCTTATGATCTAACCTCACACATTCGTAGCCTAGAATCTGTATTCCAGCGAATCCGTAATTTTAATTTAAAGATTCAGCCTGAAAAATGCGAATTCCTCCGGAAGGAAGTCACTTATCTAGGGCACATAATTGGTCAAAATGGCGTTCAACCTAACCCAGATAAAGTCAGAGCCGTCACAGAATTTCCCACACCTAAATCACCTAAGGATATAAAATCGTTCTTAGGTCTTGTGTCATACTATAGACGGTTTATACAGGACTTTTCTAAACTAGCTAAACCTCTAACTAACCTACTCAAAAAAGATGTGCCCTTCATATGGGAAAATACCCAACAGTTATCATTCGAAAGTTTAAAGGATAAACTTGTTTCCGCCCCCGTATTAGCCTATCCTGATTTCTCTCAGCCCTTCATCCTTACCTGTGATGCTTCAAATTACGCGATTTCCGCTATTTTATCCCAAGGTCAAATAAGTCAAGACCGTCCCATAGCATTTGCATCCCGCACTATGAATAAAGCAGAATGCAACTATAGTGTCACGGAGAAAGAATGTCTTGCCATAATCGCTAATCTGCCTGAGACCAACGGCGAGAATCCTGTGCATCTCACTGTGCAGATCGGCCTAAAGTTGGGTGTAAAGCTGGATGAACGTGACATCGTCAGCGCCGAACGCGTCGGGGCGCGCCGTCTGGTTGCGACGGATGCCGCGGGACCGGTTCCTCGCCCTCGACTGCTCGCTGTGCGCCTCGCGCGCCGAGATCTGCGTGAAGAGGTGCTAGGCAGTGCGAGGGCCCGCCGCGGTGCTACAACAGAGGGTCTAGGCCTACCTACCCCCTCACAGCCGTTTTATGTTAACGAGCGTCTTACCACACAAAACCGTTTGTTATTTCGGAAGGCGCGTGAAGCTGGTCAGCATTATGGCTGGAAGTTCGTGTGGACCAGGCGGGGTCGTATTCTCGCGCGTAACAAACCCGGCGACAAGGCGCATGTTATTCGGTGCGAGACGGATGTCGATCGTGTCTTTGGCCCTCAACAACAACAAAAACAGTAGTGAAGATTGTCTGAGTTTTAGTTTAGATTGGTATACAACTTGTTTATATTACCCTAGTAGCTGCTTATTTTTTGTGCCAATTTTGTTTTATTTTTTATCCTGTTGCAACATATATTTCTATACATTTGCACTTTGTCGGGTACTCATTAAAAATGTTTCTTTGTTTACCTCTGACTGTATTAAATTTTTGTTACTGACGTTGTCGAGTATTTATTGCTGTGTTTGTGGTGTAAGAGTGTGGGTCATTGGGGCTGGCGATCATTGTTCATTGAACATTACTTATGTCCGGTACATATACAAACATTTTCACTACACAAATTATATTTACATAAACTTTCTATCACCCATATTATACTTATATACTTATATTTTAAGAAGAGTACATATATGCAAAACTATCACATCTGCCGAATTGCGATCACATATCCTACATGTTAGCACTGCACTCAATAATGAAATAAAAGTAAACATAATTATCGTGATGTG